AGGCCATTGTTAGAGCACTGGTAACATTTACTTGTATTCACTGAATATTTCAATGAAAACCTGACCCTGGGGTAATAAAACTCAGATGAGCTCACTTTTGATCTCAGTCTCACTTTTACCAAAGGAAAATATAGTGGAAAAGTGAGACCGAGATCAAAAGTTTTATGACCCTGGGGGCCTGTAAATATTTTAATTTAATGTCAGTAATTTTAAGTTCTAGTCTTGATAACCGGACACATTGGTTTCATGAGACACACTATTTAGTACCGTAATACCCAATGCCTGTTTTGATTTCTTTCAGACGTCAGTGGAGAACTGTAATGTGTCTGCTCTAGATAACATGTTCAGGACACCATTACACTGGGCAGCTGTACTGGGTAAGTTTCAATTATCACTATGGATTAAATTTTGAAAATCCAATTAGATCTGCACAAGCATTACTTGCTTAAACTCTCTCAGTATAGTCAAAAACCAATACAATACAATATTTAGGGTGCAGACAGGCAGTGCACATTTTATCACAGATGATTTCTTATTTGATAGGCCATTCTGCTGTGGTTGCGCTGCTGCTGGACAATGGTGCTGAATACTCTGTATCAGATTCTAATGGTGCCACTCCACTCCATTATGCTGCTCAGAATAATCACTATGTGAGTCAAGAAAAAAATGATCTACTGATTGAGTCATTTTTATTTTAAAATGATTTTATTTACTAGATTGCTATTGCACAGTATTTTTTTCTGATATGGTTTTCAAATTAATTTCAGAGCAAACATAATGTATGTATTCAAATTAGGGTGGTATGACAATCTTAACAAAGGGGAATAACTCTTAATTATGCTACAAATCTATTTACATGACAAATGTGATTTGACGTTAATTTTCTTTTCTCCTATAGGAAACAGTTGAAGTGTTCCTTTCGTGTAAGAATGTTGTGGATGAGCCAGACATTGAGGGTCGCTCGGCATTTATATGGGCTGCTGGGAAGGGTGCGGATGAGGTCATCGGAGTCTATCTCAAACATAATGTGGACATACAGCAGGTAGACAGTCACGAAGGATCAGGTAAGTCCACTTAACTAAGCGTGTCCATTACTTACCAGTATGGTAAATTTAATCCTGTTGTGTATCTGAGTGAAAAAAATTTCTGCAAATTCCTTTTATTTCGAGATGATTAGTACACATTTACTGCAAAAGTGCTCTTAGACAATAGCAAGAACAATTACGGTATTCACAAGTAGATGGTTGCTCAACAGATTTTTCATATATATCAGCACCATAGCAATAAAAATGGGTAATTTTAATTTTGTCAATGGTGCTTTTCACAAATTTGTGCTATAATTCTCGTGTATATTTAGGAATCTACCGTATGTGTGTGAAACTGATGATCCTTTAATGATTTTTAATTGCAGGAGTAATTTTTAAAATCTTCTTGAAACTTAAGATTGATGAATGACATTCTCTTACAATTTATTGAATTTGGTAATTTTATGAATTTTTTAAAATTTTCAAATGACATTCGATGTAGAAGTTAACTAAATCATCACTTTCTTTGGTGTTTCAGCCCTTCATGCTGCTGGTTTGTCAGGCCATGCTTCGACGGTGAAGCTTCTACTGGACCAGGGAGCTCATATCGATGCTGTGGACCGCCTGAAGCACACTGCCTTGTTCCGAGCTTGCGAGATGGGACACACGAGTGTGGTTCAGTCATTGATTGATTATGGTGCTAGAGTCGATGTTCTGGATTTTGATGGAAGGTCACCCCTTCATTGGTAAAATTTTATTCAATACACAACTCGAAGTTCGTGAAAAAAAAAATTCTCTTGAGGATACGCATTTTCAGACATATGGCAATTACATGTACTTGCATCAATGATTCTTTGAAGAAATAAGTGTGACAAAAGAAGAAAAAAACAATGGTGAAGTTTTCTTCTGACATGTTAATATTTCGTTTTGTTTCCTCTATAACAGGGCAGCTTTAGGTGGGCATTCCTACATTTGCCAGACTCTCATTAAGTATGGCGTGGATCCTAACATCAGAGATTACTCAGGGTCAGTCGATTTATAAGTCATACTGTAAACCAACTTTTATTCACAATGACTTTATTTCGCGATTTACCAAGTCTATTTTGGATCTGTTGTTAATAGACACAGAGACTTTAAGGACGGGTTTGCGGTGAGAAATAATCGTGATGATGAGGCTTTCACGAAGTAGCTGAAATTTCTCATGCAGGAATAAAAGTTGGTTTACAGTAATCTCATACGTGTACAGCATTTTTTTTTCATTGGGAAAGACACTTTGTTTTTTTTGTAGGACACTTTATAGTATATTTATTTCAATAATTTCAATTATAATTTAGGATAACATAAAGTGAGATTCTGAAGTTAAATTCTCGTCATATATGTAGATCTAAAGCATACATGATCAGCTTGTAATTAAATAAACCTTTCTCTGAAAAAGTATCAAACCAAAATTATAATCAACCAAATATAGATACAGAAAGTATTTAAGTGAAATTCACCAAAATTGAACTTTGTCAGTACAGTTCTGTCTTTTTAAATTGAAAGTGATTAAATATCCCACTGATTTAGAGGAAAAGAATGTGCCTGCATGATATGAGCTTTCCTCTTTCTTGTCTCCTACAGGCGGACTCCTTTGCAGTGCGCTGCGTATGGTGGTTTTGTGAACTGTATGTCAGTGTTAATAGAACACAAGGCAGATGTTAATGCCAGGGACAGAGATGTAAGTCAAGTGACAGGATGTTCATTTCATTATAATTAAATTAAACCCTAAGGGTTTAAAATTTAATGTTTCATACAAATTAATGTACATGAAATATATATATGTAAATATCTTTATAGTTCTACTAAACTTTAGGAAGTTACGAAATTTCAGCATTTCATACATGAATTGTACATTTCATTGAAAGTGAGTAATTTATAACTTGAAGATGAAAAGTTGATAATTAGATAGACATTAAATAATATTTGACTATTTCAGGGTATGACAGCTTTACACTGGGGGTGTAGTAAAGGACATTTAGATGCTGTTAAGTTACTGATTGAGTACCAAGCCTTTCCTAACCACATGGAGATGACAGAGGACAGGTTAGTTTCTCAGGCACATTGAACCATCACTCAAGTGCATAGTTGATATGAAATCTGAGCTTGATTGATAATAGGCAATATTTCTACTCTAACCTTATTACTGTAAAAAACTTTTTATTAATGAAAACTTCAATTTTTCACGTAGTTACGCGAGTTTGTCTGTTGAGGAAAATTACAATTTCTTGTATATTTATGATAGTAAGGATTATGTGTAACAAAACCATATATAGCTAGCAAAAATGTTGCCTCACTTATAAATACGCAATAGCTATCTCACAAAAATAAGGTGTCACAAAAATATAATAATCTACAGTATGCAGCTTACATACGATGTGACATTGGTTAGCATATTTTAGAATTTATAATACATAAGAGTAATTAATAATTTCTTCCTACTACTACAGTCCTTTGGCCAGTTCCGAATTTTGACCAGTTCCAAATAATTATTAATTGAAGAGCTGATAATTAACAAATTCAAGGTGTAAAAATAAATTGATACCTATGGTAAGAAGGCCTATTGATATGTGTTTGAATTATGTGAAGTTTGATTTTTTCACTGTCAGTTCGATTTTGTTATCGTACTTGAAACAGTTGCCATACTTTTACAATGCAACAAATCTGAATCAACACGACGCGTAAGTCTGCAGAAAAACCTCTGTAGAAATGTCAAATTTTCACATAACATTCCAGGTATCAAAAGTCAGTTTGATATGTACTCTAACAAATACTAAAAGTTTGTCTTAAATATATACTTAGAACACTGGAAGATATCGGAATATTTTTGTGTTTTCCTTTTACTAGTTCCGAATACCCATTATAAACACTATAATAAGTATTCATTTTTCGTTGTTTTCTTCATTGTTAACATGACTTATTACACCCAATCTTGAAAAGAAGGGGTAGAGGGTATATATATTGATGGGATGTTTGTCCATCCATCCGTCATTACTTTTGTCCGTCTAGCTGTACGTTAGCCCGTCTTACACGCTTTGACCCATTTCTTCTCCCAAATCCTATTCTACCACTGAATGAAATTTAATGAGACTTTCACAGAATTTGATGAGGCTTTTACAGAAGCTTTGTTAAATAATAAATAGTGCCAAAATGCATCTTCTAATTTATTTTTTGATCGATACATAATTTAGGCTCCTTTAGCAAAACATGGATACTGTCATTCTTTCTTATATTGAAGGGTATACCCATCTCCTATCCGCAATTCCTCCTATACCACTGAATAGGATTTGATGATACTTTCACAGATTCTTTATTCAAAATTCCATTGTGCACCAATTATTTTACTGATCTGACACTTATTTTAGGTCTTTCAGAGCAAAACTTGGACTTGCTATGATAATCATAGAGGAGACGTGGGCAATCATTAAAGTGAGCACAGTGCTCACAGTACCTCTAGTTTCTCTTTATCCTTCGGAAACACAAATACATGTAACTTATTTGTAAGCAATGATTTTAAATTTTCTTGGGCATGCCAGTGGATAATGTGTGAGACAGATATTTTTTTTGATTTAGGGTCAAATTGAATCGGAACTTGTCGGCTTATTCGTAGCTGGTAAAATGAGTACCTATGTTAACTTGCTAAATAAATTTTTTGGGAAATGGCTGAACTTTTATGAAACAATATTTTATTCCACAGGTCATTGAACTGAGAAAAAAAACTGAGATTTAGAAATAATGCCTTGTACGGGTATATTTACAGCACCACCGAATTGGTTTATTTCTTATTCTGAACTGGTCAAATAACTGTTCTAATCTATTAATAGATTCTACCACCAGAAAATAAATATGAGTTAATTTATTTTGCAAGCAGGGATTTTTGTGAAATTATTCAGCAATTGATTTCGCATATTTTTAGGGTTCTAGTATGGCATGCTTATAATTTTATAGGATTATTTTATCTTGTGGCTGCTGTATGAGCTTTATATGTACCTGGTAAAACCAAGAGAGATAACTCTTGAATTTTTCACCAATTGTATAACTACTTATGCCAAAATCACAGCATGAAGTATGCCATGATAGCCATCATCTGCCTCTCCTCTGTGAAAAAATTTGTAACAGCTAGTGATCTTTTCTATGACCTTGACCTTACCTTTCTTATTTTTGCATTTAATTCATTTTCTTAATTACAATTAGGTATTCTTCAAATTCATAAAAATTCCTTCACAGATGCACCTTTAATTATAGTGACAGCATTTCTTCCAGCCTTGACCTTTCTTGTGAGCTTACTTTTTTAAAAAAAATGTATTCAAAACATTTTATTTATAATGGTTAAGTAATTCATAGAACTTCATGCTTACTAGGTGCATCTTGATGAGAGCATCTTATTATCACATTCATCAGAATCCTTGGACTTTCCTAATGACTTTAAACTACATGTAACATTTGATTATATTATTTTTGCTGGGAATATTTCAATTGTGGTGGTCAGCTGGGTTTGATCGCCGGTGGCCAGATAGCTCAGTTGGTACAGCACCTGACCGGAGATTCAGGTGGCCCGGGTTTGAATCCCGGTCTGGTCCGCTGCATTTTCTCCTCTCCGTTACAAAATATTTTTCATGTTCAGCTTTCTTGTGACCTAATTTACTCTAATTTCTTGATATTGATGTAGCTCAATGAGGTAGATATTCATGTCATACAAAAAAAATCATTTTAATTACATATGCTAGATGTTATTCGACCTGAATTACTTTTTTAAAAATAATGTGATCCAATATACCTGCTTTGAATGCCTAGCTTTCATTTTCTTTCGATTTGCTGATAGACAAATACTTTGTTGTAAAATTTAAAAAAATATTTGTTTAGAAAAGAGATTTGGCAGCAGTTATTATTTCACTGCAAGTTATCTTGATGCAATAAATGATTACTTGTTTGCATAGTTCCAATTTTGACATGTCAAATTGAAATTCTGCACGTGTACGTAATTTCAATAGCATCTTACATGAGTTTATGCAAATACTATTTGAACATGGACAAATAATGGTATTTAACTTATTTGCCTTTACTAATTTAACCCAAAATTTCATTGATACTGAGCAGCTGGTTTCAACAAACTGCAGACAACAATTTTTGTTAAGTATACAATTGGCATTCAGAACAATTTTCAATTTAATTGCAACAAACGTGAAGTGGAAATTGAATTTCAGATATTGACTGTTTAAGATTTTTTTTTCAGTATTGCTCTGAGAATGTAAAAATGTTTTTAGTTGCATAGGAATTATCATCTGAGATGTATCTTGCAATTGCTCTTTCTTGTAATGAATTACAAAATGTATACAAAAAAATTTTCTGCCAAAAGTGAGATTTCCAAAACAGATTTCCTTTGACTTTCTCTTTTGTCTTAAGTCATAATCTCTTGTTGAAACTCAAATTTATTTTATTGATAATCTGTTTTCCTTATATTGTAATTACATTATTTTAAGTGTGTACAATATTTGGCAGAAATTAATTTTCAAACAAGTTAGCGTAGATTTGATTGAGTGATTTCTTAATGTTCCTATTCCTGTGTATATGTTCAAGACATTTAGCATTGAACTAATGGAAGTTACTCTCCACCAAAAGTGCTTTCTTGTAAAAGAATACATAATGCAGCCATATGTAATATGCTTACAGTACTATTTTGCTAACATGATCAATGAAATTATATAAAAGAGGGAAAGATTCTGTTGATGAAAGTTCAGAAGGGGAGATCACACTGTTTTGTAATAAAAAAAAAGAAGAAAATTTTTTGCAATGTTTTAATTAAAAAAAAACAAAAAATGGTGATTATAGATAAATTCTACATGTAGTGTCAAAGAAATAGTAGCGTGAGATATACACTCAAACTTTGGTTTATCTTGAATACAATGTTATAATGTCAGAGTGAATTGGAAACCCCAACCACTTTTCTACTGTATATATATGCATTTTAATGTTATCTCAATTTTTTTGACGTCTTGAAGTTTACTCTCAATTCCATTGAGTTTAAGATGAAGAGGTTTGGCTGTATTTATAACATAGAGTAGCAATAAGATTAGGACCCCTGATTCTGTTCAACAAATTCATTGTATTTAATATATAGATGTTGAGGAGCAGTAGATTAAACCATACGTGTGTGGTTTAATGTAAATTCTAACTACTATATTTTAGGTACACGCCCCTGGATTATGCTTTGATGGGAGAGCACCACGATGTCGCACAGTACATGCTGGAGCAGGGGGCACTGTCTATTACGGGTATTCAGGATCTAGCTGCCCTCAGTATCCAGGTATTCAGTCATTCGTTATCGCAAATCTTGCTTCTGAATAAACACTTGGTGATAAACTATGCGTTTAAATCCAACTTAATTGCTTATAAATTCAGCCAGACAAAGAATCTGAATGGTGCTTTTCTATATAGCCCACTTTCACATGGAAACGGTAAACAGTGACTTATTTGACTAATTTTGAAGTATATAGTAGATCTATGAAATACCTTATTTATTATTGTGACTTTTTAATGAAAATTCTTCAAATAAAATCCAATCCAGGACTGGCAGAGTTTTAGAAATGATACACGTCAATTTTTTGTGATGAAACAAAACCAGCTTTCCCGGAAAGAGGCTGCAAGGTAGGCATCAAATTAAACGTACTTAAATGTTGGAAAAATGTATTTCTATTTGATATTAATTATTTTATAGTGAACGTATAAATAATATTGATTTGTTCAACATTACAGTAAAAAAAAAAGTGCACTGCATGAAAAAAACCACAAGGATTTCGACTTGTTTTAAAATCGCCAAGACGACCGTTAAAATAGCAGTAGCACACACACATTTTGAAACATGGTATTTTTGACAGTCATGGCAACAAAACAGTAAACTTTTGAATAAATCCGATGTTTTACCACGTAGGAATATATGTATATATTTTTTCATCAGATGCTCCGGTATTAGGTGGGTATGCTTACTACGTAAGTACGCAGTGCAACATCGAAAACGGAAAATGCCGTGAATAGAAAATTACTGTCATACAAGTACAATATGAAAATAGGTGTGTCATCGAACGATATAAACATGTTGATTGGATTATTATATATGAATTTTACAGGTGTTTTTTATTTTTGTTTGTGTTTTTTTGTCAAAAAGTCACCATCGGTTTCAGACAAACTATTGCAAGGATTCCAACCTAAATAGGCAAAAATTTGTACACTTATTATTCACCATATGAAAACGCTTGTGTTATGGAATTTTGAAACCTTTTGATTTAAATTTTTTTCATTTTACAGGTTTTATTTTTTATTTTAATTGACTCAAGGCATTTTGGGCTCATGTATAAGGTTTGAGATATATAATACACAATACACTCAGGGACATTTTGGCCTCCGTTTTATTTTTGCCTCGTTCACCCAACCTTAGTAGGTGAATTAGAAATGATCAAAGTGTTAAAAACAATTTTATTTTACAGAATTGACAGAATATAAATTGATATTTAAACAGGGCAAAATTGTGTGCAAGTCTAAAAGACCGAAAATAACACAGGTCAAAAACAAACTTGTATACAGTATAAAGCTAAATTACGTGATTTGTTTTTGCAGTACCATATCAAAAAATATTTTCGTCTTGAAGCAGAGATTACTCTTAGTTAACATATAGGATCTTTGAATCAAAAAGTGGCTATATACATGCACCTCATGTCTATGTAAGTTGCTTTAAGTTACATCTCTCTTCTACTAGATTGCCTCTTAATTGTATATTTATTGTCATGTCAAAGCACTTCATTACTGAAAACGATATAACCCGCTCTTGAGGCATTCTTCATGTAATGCAACTTTAACATTGATATATCAAATTTCATTGAGATGTTGAGAGTGTTTTTTTTTCAACAATCAGTTTGCAGATTACTGCCTCCTGCAGTGATATATAATTGCAATATATTTTTGCATATGTGAAATACATGTAACCAAAAAAATAAAATGAAAAAATAAAAAATAAATGTTACAATGGAATTACAATGTATTAGTATTGTATGTTTCATTTGTTTTGCACTTTTTAATTGTAATAATAACATTGCATATTAACATGATGAGAAATAATATTTCACTGCAAATTTTTGTAAGTAAACTTGATGAAACATGACCAGCTTCGGAAAGAGGCTGCAAGGTAGGCAGAACTGGCCAATGTTGGAATCAATGTATTTCTATTTCTATTGTTTTGATTCTATAAATACAAACACTTTATCAAAATTAGCATAAAATGTGTCAGTTGTAATGCTGATGTGTTTCTCTAGGACCATTTTATCTTTTCAATACAGTAAATTGTTGTTAAAATATAATTTATTATATATATGTCTGTTTTGATGTGATTTAAAAAATTATTATGAATAATTCATCAAAAAATTAATTTAATGAATTATTATACTGTAGGAAGCGAGCTGTGGAAGAAACAAGAAAGAAAGAGGACAAAAAACACAAAGAGGAAGTCATTAATCGCCAAAATATTGTGTTCAAAGAAATGAGTCTGGTCGAACAGGAACCTCCTCCAACAGTCAAACAGGAAGAGGTTCTACAGGAAGAGGAAGTGCCAAAGATAAGGGAAAAGAAAGAGCCCAAACAGAAGAAAAAGTGAGTACAGTTCAGTCAAGAACCATAAATATTTAATCAAATATTTTCAAATCTCATGTAATTGTAAAAATATTAAAAGAAAGATTTCAGCAAAATTTTAGAAAACAAAGTCATTACGTAGATGAATATAGCATAACTGCTTTTACACATATACAGGGACTGTAAATTTTTGAATGTATACTTAAAGATTTTCCTGTCAAATGAATTTAAAAAATTTAGATACTATTCTCACCTCATTTTGGGGATTATTTACTTGTTCTGCATTTTTGTTATGTAAAAAATACATATAAATTTACATTGTAATCTGCACCTGTAGAAGAACTTTTAACCTTTAGGTAAATTTGCTGTAAAGGCTTGAAATGATCCAGTTGATAAGACTGCAGACATAAATTCCAATCGAGGGTACAGGATGCTAATCCTATTAAATTTATGTTATGAAATTATTTTCACTTTTTCAAAACTGAAAATTATAAAATTTTCAAATGTTTTGTTCAAATGAGAAAATCATAGGCATAAAATTTTCAAATTAATTGACAAAATGAACTTCCTTATTTTTGAAGTTATTATAATCAGATTTTACTGTAAAAAACATCCATTGCTTCTGATTTTGGAAGACTTATGGGAATTAAATTCATTCTGTAACTGGAAATTATTCATTATCCAATATTGGAAAACACAAGGTTTAATAATATATACATTGATCCTAAAAGGTTTAAATTCAATAGAAAAAACTTTAATCGGAAAACATTAACATGCTATAAAATTGATTATGTGCTTTAGTGTTCCCTGTTTTTGAGATTTTTTATTCGATTAATATGCAGATACTTTATACATATTGATAATTGTCTATGAGTTTTAAATGTTTTTGTGGTACATGTATTCAGTTCAACCTTGTTAACTTTGATGCTTGTATTTTCAAGCTATATAGCTGCCCAAAATAATGAAGTGTTACAGTAGCTGAAATTTGCCTGTAATAATTGCAAGGTCTCTACAAATGTAAATTGTGTCCCCCTAAAATTTGATTGAAAGGTGAAACATCCAGATAATTGGAGTCCACTTTACTGAGGCTGAACTGTAGCTCTATAGGTACTTAAAAATTTGTGAATGTTCTTATCAATCTAGATTCCAAGACTCAATAAAATACTTTATTTGGCAAGATGAAAAAAGTCTTAATAATTTGACTGTCCTTAGAGCTTGTCTGAAGATTCAAACACATTAGGGTACATCATTAATGTTGCTAGTTATATTGAAACATTTTACTTGAACTCATGGCATGATTAGAGAAATTGATTTTTTAAAGGGGATCAGATTGTTTTGTAGAAATTTTCAAATCAATGTTTGGTGCATTTTAGGCCAATTACAATGGACTAAAAGATCATTTACTTTTATTTCAATAAAAATCTTAAGAAAAGAATTTACAGAAATAACTTGCATGGATTTTATCTTTAATGATCATGAATCAGTTCTGAATATTGGAAAGGTCTGTTTTAATAGTGGCTAGGGTAGCATACTACAATTTGCATCATAAGTACTTGGATAATGAAACAATCAATCTGCCCATCATTGCATAAAAGATGCTGCTCTTTAGAGTCAACTACATCATTGATTTTTATGGCTCTGAGACTGAATCATTTTCAAAAAGATTGGAGCATTTTATTCTGAGGAGAAATATTAAAATGGAGGTCTTGGATGGGAGTGTTTGATTTTTTTTTCTTGGAGGTCTCATGCAATGTGTGTGTCAGAGATAGTATCAGTAGGATTCTGACATATGAAGGGATGCAGTATGACCAAATCAAAATTGTTTCTTTTAGAAGGTTTGTTTGACATTTTTAGTATCTTTATTTTTGTCATTTTTTAAATTTTGATATGTCATGCTGTACTATTAAAAAAGTATCAAACTTGTTTGATTACATATCAACTGTTGTTATGCCTGGATTAAATATTGTTTTCATTATGAATCTGTCAAAAGTCCAATGTTTTTATTGAGCATAAAAAAACTCTGTGTTAGATTTGTTGATGAGGTAAAAGTATGACAAGTGTCTCCCTCCACCTACCCTCCCTAACCCCTACCCCACTCCCAACCCCCATAATAATGGGCTATGTGAATGGAACAGTTAAAAAATTATTTCAGGAAAACTTTTCATTTTTTTTAAGATATCAGATAATCTCTCCAAACTAAATCAACTTGATTAGATACTTTGACCAAGTTGAACAGAAGATTCGACCATTGTAGACTGTATAATCTAAGTAAATTAAAACATTGAACAATAAATTTGGGAAATGATATACCAACAGCATTCCAAAAAGGAGTCTCTTTTTCATATTACTGGTATCTTAATTCCTTATTGTTATTTATTTGTTACAAATCGTCTGGGTAGATTTCCTAGGTGTTAGGGGAATTGAATAGCCTTTGATTGGTAACATGAACTCTATGGCTATTGTCCGACAGAAAAATTACGAGATAGTCAGTCGTACCTTTAATGCAAATACTCAACCATTAAAAGTGTTTTTTTAATTATTGAATTACTTCTTTTAAATGGGGATTATAGAAAGTAGATTTTAAATAGCCTATTTTAAAGACAGGATTTATGTAGATGTAAAGATAACTCTTTAGAAGAGAACTGGTGTGTGAGCTTTTGTTCTCTAAGTTTATCGTATCTGACAGACAATTTAAAATTCGAATTGTCCGTGGATATTGTTTATGGGGAAGAATTCAATTTTCGTGGAATGACCAGATTGATTTCCAATATTAAATTGTGAGCTCTCAACAGTTAGTTGGTGTGTGCTAAATTAGTGGATGAAATTTGTGCAATAATTTTTTTACAGCCTTAGAATTCTATGATGGAGATTTTTTTTTTAAATCCCAGAATGAAAATGAAAAAGAAAAATTCCATAATTACCTTTGCTCATAATGGATTAATTTGATCTCGGTCAATTTTATTTTCATTGTTTTATAAATGTGATGTGGGAATTTAATACTCCAAGAGTCAAGTGTTTTTAGTGGCTTTTATAAAGTTATCTAATTATGGGAGGAACTGTGGAACAATTACCAGACTTAACTGGAACAACCAAAAGTGTGAAATGGCAAAAATTCACAACAAAACTCAACATCATAAGAAAATTTATGAACGAACCTTTGAAAAGCCAAAGGCCAAATTCACTACCGCCAATTAACCAAGCGTTTGCATGGAGACGGTCATCAAGGTAAATTGTCTGATTAAAAGTATATGTTTTTTTTAATCTGTACATGAACATAGTAGAATTATATTTCAGAATATGGCAGTAAATATTTTGGAGTCCATATTTCAAGTCTCTGAATAATTAAAAGGAACTTTTTGAAGGTAGTTTTTTTTTAAGTGCCTTGGTGTTTTGTTTCTGTTTTAGCTATTTTGTGTGTGTTTTTTTGGCAACACAAAGTTTTGCAGATGGTGAATTTTGAGATTTACTGGGGTTTTCAGATCTTGAGAGCATGTTTCAGCATAATGGAACAGAAGGATGGTTCTTCTATTGCCCAGTTAATACTTTAGATGTTGTAGGGAAGGCATAAAATAGTTACACACACTGACGGGGTTGGGATGTTGGAGGTTTGGTTTGGTTAAACATTTAAGAATTGAATTGATATTTTTGCTCAGTTTAATACTTTTTAGCATGTTTTAAATTCCTTTTTATATACCATTTGGTTGATAATATATCCTTGTTTTTTTTTCCTCACAATTGCTAAAATACTTCTTTATCCTTAGCCCTTTACCGAAATTGTCCTTTTAATAAGTTCTACTAATTGAAGAGCTAATATGCCATCATAAGTTGTCTGTCTTCCATCTGTCTGTAACCAGTATTTCAACATGTTATTCTTCCAACAGTTTTGGCCCCTATTTCAAATATTTTCTTAGATGTTCAGATACCCATCCAAGTCATCTGTGACTTTTTTTCCACCGGGAAGGATCTAAGCAAAATTTCAATGGACACTTGTCAAAATTTATGGCAGAGATTGCAATCACATGGACTTGCCTCTGTTATCAATTTCAAAGATGTTATTTGAAATTTTCTGAGACCTATGAAACAAGAGGGAAACATATATTGTTCTTCTCATTTCATTTAATGAGTATCTAATTGTATATATTTCAGAGATTTTCTCATCAGTACCAGTATAATTCAAATTTATGATGAATTGGAGAGGTAAACTTTGTAATATGGTGTGAAAATAATGCAGTTTGCAACCATCATAATCTGATAATAAAAAATTATGTTTTTATTGGTTTCTATGTATAATTGTTCTTAATTAAAAATGATTAACCGACTTTATGTCATACAGTGAAACCTGATTATAGTGAACTCTGCTAGAAGGACCACCTGATAATTCTTAATAAAACATTAATTCCTGTAAAAAAAAGTATGTCAAATTTTGATTTTCTTTTAATTTTCCATGATGTTCACTGTCACTAGGTTTTCTGATTTTGAAAATGTAGGCTGTATTAATATAAAGTCTACTTTTTACATAATTTGCTGAAAAACCATTTTATAATTGACGGGTGGTATCTTTGTCATATTTAATTATACTGATTGGAAACTTACATGGTTGCTGTTTCATATATATAAAGCTATTTACATATATGCTTGAAAATTTAAACTATTTTAAGATATTTTTTTGTATACAATATAATTATTTATTAATAATTAATTAATTTATTAATTAATAGCTCTAACATGTTGTGCATTTTGTTGAGGATATTAATTTTATAAACTTAACAGTCTGGGTATCAACAGATATATGCATGAATTAACAGTCTTTGTATCATACAAAACAAATATTGTCTTACATAATTATACTTCTCATTTAGTAGGGTAATGGAAGACTTTTATAGCTTAAAATGATTGATGAAAACCCAGATAATGTACATCATTTAGTTCTTTGAAAATGCATCTGTTTTATTAAATTTTGATCATTTTTATTTTAGTGGGAAAAATCTGTATAGGTCTCAATTTTACTGAATTAATCTCAGATCTCAATTTTATTGATTTAGTCTCCGATCTCAATTTTATTGAATTAATCTCTGATCTCAAGTTGAAATCATTAAAATTTCTGTTGCCGTGCATAATTTGGGAAGTGTATAATCAAACAAATTCATAATGTCACACTTTCTTGTTTACAATATAAATTTGTACTTTAAGTACAGCATTTGATTAAAATTTTATTGAATATATATCTTTTAAATACACCATTTCCTTTCAATTACTTTAAAATCAAGGGTAAATTGAATGTGAGAGATTAGCATTGTGATTATTTGCCCCGCTTGAATACAGAATTTGTCAGTTTACAAATTGGTAGTTCAATAGTTTACATCCAATCTTTTGACAAACATTTCTAAAGAAACTACAGATTTTTAAGCTGTGTGGCTATTTAAATACTATAACAGAAAGGATTAGGAGTTTTCTTCAAAATAACCAGATAAATTGTAGAGGGCTAATAATTGGATGTTAAATGTATATGTCTATAGAAACAGGGTTTGACAGAAAGCATAAGGTCATTAATTGCAAAAGTTTATCTTTGAATTACGTACATTGTACACCTTTTCTGGATGTTTTGTTTTAGTTGTAGCGGAAATTTTTATGGTGCAGGTGTTTGAACACCCAGTTTCATTATTATTTATTTAAAAACAAAAAGTGTGTTTGATGGGGATTTAAACATCTTTCCTTTTTTCAATCACTTCCATCAATATTTGGAGAAAGAATAAGGAGTTCTTTACAAGACTGGATATTGGAATAAATATATCCCATTGAAATTGGTCTAGCTTCTTTTATAATACAAAAACTGTTCTACATGGACATGGTTTAATATTCTCCAAGACACTTCTCAAACATTTCCAAAAATGGAGACTCTGAAAAATTAGCTTGGATTTTTTAAAGATATTGAGTGAAAAATTATAAAAAGAAGTTTCCCTGTTTTGAGTGATTGGGAAGTTTTAGTTTTAGTTCTTGGAGTGCTTTATATAATTATTGAAGGGAAATAACCAGAAATGCCACAGTTCTTCAGAGCACTCTCGGCCACGTTTCAAAATTTCTTCAAATCTTCTCAGCATTCTCAACCTGGTCAATCTAAATCTTACAGGCGGAAGGAAAGAGAACTCTCGGAACAGGAAGTAGTCCTGCGACAAAAGGAAAACCAGAAGCAGATCAAAAGTACCGAAAAATCTCGACAACGACAATACAAGCTAAAACAAAAGGCAGCATCTAAAATCCAGAAGGCATGGAAAAAGTAAGTACTTGGCATACATATAAAGTCAACTTTTTGTACTTGACAAGTCATGAAAAATAAGGCCATCTTAAAAAATTGTTTTAATTTGCCCTCTCCGGATCAACTGCGTAAAAATGGTCTTACTCTTAACTTTTTTTTAATCTCTAGAAAACTATATTTTTATTTTCCTTTAATTCTTGCCTTTTTTCATTCTGTCAACATGTATGTCGAAATTTTTTAGATAGGTAAAAGAAATTTTCACCTTGTAACCTATTGACCCAATATTTTACCCTGAGTCAGGAGAGGGCATATAAACATTATTTTAAAGATGGTCTAAGTATAAATTAATAAAAAAACATTACAAGATGATACAAAGTCAGGTTTTTGTGAAACACTCCTTTGAAAGTTGAGTTGAACTGAGCATGGATATTTCAGTGATGTGGAAGTCCCAACCACTTATACTTAAGGATGGTTTATCCTAGATATCTCAAATCCTTGGATATCTCAAAGTGTTTCTTAGCCTTATCGGGTTCAAGATAAGGAAGTTTGACTGTAATGAAGTGAGGGGGTACCTCTCCCAGATTTTCTCCTCCTGCACCCCCATTACCAAAAACCTGAAATCAAACTAAGACAATAGTAATATTTTTTTAAAAATTGAATTTTAAAATAGTTAAAGGTATATTTTAGGTATTAAAATCCAATACCAGGTGTTTTCTATATCCATAAACTCAGAGGAAAATCCTAGCATAGCAACTTTTCATTTATCATATGTTATAAACATTATTAAGGTTTAAATAAACTTCTTTTCTAAAATTATTGTCATGCAATAAAATGAGACCCTACATGTATTGTTTTTGGATGGATTGTTAAGAACAAGGCCCCATCTGTTTACTCCCTCTAAATATCAGACTGAGTTTACCTAGCCGTTACCTGTTCTCTACCATACCTGGTATACCTGGCCACTTACACACATTTTACCTGACAAAAATTTAAGGTATATAATCAGTACTTGTTCAAAATTTAAAGACTTCTTAGTTTTCCAGTCATTTAATGCATCTCAATGGATGCCATTTATCAAGGCTTATTGAGGAGTTGCCAAATACGTTTTTGAAGGAAAAAGGGCCCCTTTATCTCATATGGCTAAAATTACAGGGTATTGAAGGCTTGTACACACATACTGCATAATACCGAAGTAAAGCCCCCATTGAAAGTTTGAAATGAGAGATCTTCATGATAAGTGTTCTGTTTAGTATACAGTTTTGAAATTATGTGTAATATTTGGAATCTATGATCATGGCCATGGAATTATATGGTAAGAAACTTGTTTTTAATTTACTGTCTGGGCAACATATTATGTAACTGTAAATGAGCTCGAACTGATAAAAAGAATGATAAAGAATATATTTTTCATTTAAAATTGTTCATATATTCTAATCTTTGTTTTCAAAAAAGGCCAAAATATGGGTAGAAGTTTTGTTTTTGATGATTTTTCAAATGATTAGAAATCCAGGGACAGTAGTTTATCTTGCTGTATTGTTTTCTTTGGAGAGTGTAAAATAATGTCTGTATATTGAAAGGTTTTTTTTATGAATACATGTAGTTTAAAACGAATAGTATGTGTATGAAAAGCAGGGTCTTGGGCTGATGTCATCTTATGAGCACCTTCCATATTTCCTTACATGTGTAATGGGGGGGGGGGAGGAATCTCCAAAACTCTAATGCCTTCTTCTGCTCATTCCAAACTTAGTAAAAGAACTTCACCTTGATTATAGCCCATTTAGATTCCAGAACATCCTGATTAAAAATTCTAAATCATTCTTATATATATATACAAAGAGGAGACAAAAATTTTAAACAGCAAATAAACAGCATGGATTACAAAATACTGTAAACCAACTTTTATTTGTGTGCAAGAAATTTTCGCGAAGTTCACGAGAGCCTCATCATCACGAATATTTCTCGCCGCGAACCTGTCCTTATTAAATATAGTATATTTGTCAATTAAAAACATATGCAAAAAGGCTTGATCGCGAAAATAAATTGTCGCGAACTAGTTTATCCTTGGTTAATCGCGAAATAAAGTTGTCACGAATAAAAGTTGGTTTACAGTAAGTGCAAAAATGAAATAACCATGGGCCCATAAAGTTAACCTAAATGCTTAATAATCTAAAAATGAAACATATTGCAGTGGTCTTATATGGATGGACCCTCAGATATTAAAGTGCTTGCTTTTCCTCATGACTTGTTTAAATGAGTCATTGTGGTCCATCAGCTTTAGTCATCAATAGCTATAAAGATACATCAATTTAAATGGCTGCTTTGGGTAATATACTTGTCAATTTTATTCCCTTAAAAAAAAAAAGCCAGCTGTTACTGTTCTTTTTTGACTGATCAGATTACATGTATATCAGTATAGACTTGAATGAAAATCCTATCATCTTATTATGTCTTGTATCTCATTGACCAATGATATTTCTTGCCCTGTTTTGTCCAAAACTAGTAAAGACATGCAACCAGTGATATATGAACAATTTACAATTTTTTCAACTGGAAAGCTCAAAAATGACTTTAGGCCTTAGATAAGATTACCAATTTAAACATAATTACAAATACATGAACAGTCAAACCTTGTTAACCCAAACTTAATGGGGTGGAGAAAAAAACCCAAGGACTTAAGAGAGTGGGTAAAATTCTTTAAGAATATGCAGTTGGGAACTTGGGACTCTGAATCATGTTGATATATCCATGGTTTTTATACGCCCGTCTTAAGACGGGACGTATTATGTTATAGGCTTCATGTCCGTCCGTCCGTCTGTCCATTCCTGTCCGGCTCATAACTTGAATACTATTAGGCCTAGGATTATGAAACTTTGTCAACTTATACTTCTTGGGTAGACGGTGTGTCACGCACAAAAAGTAGGTCGCTCTGACCTTTAATAAAGATGCTATAGCCAAATATGGAAAAATTCTGTCCGGCTCATAACTAGAAAACTATTAGACCTAGAGCTTTCAAACTTGGCAAACATATACATCTAAAGTAGAAGGTGTGTCGCAGCCTATTTCAAGGTCACTGTGACTTTTAATTAAAGTGAATTTTTTTAAAAAACTAAGTCTTTTAAATTCTAAATTTCATAATCCTAAACAGTGTAAAAATATAGTTGTATGCTTATTAAAAAACGTTAAATTAAGTAAAAACTTATTTTTTCATTATATACTTTACAGCAATCTGTAACAAATGTTTATGCTTTGAGAGGAATTCAGTTTGTCCCATGGGCTTAATTATCAAGCACTGGTCAAGAAGAATTTTGATAGCAGAAATTTGCATGTCAAATTAGAGAGAAAGTAATGAGTTTATTGTCAAGAGCTAAGACCATCTCTAGATCTGATGCAGCTGTTATCTTAATTTATCTCTTGGGAGTTGGGCAAAAAGAAATGGCCTCATAGTTGCTTGTGCTAATTAAGAGTTCTTGATGGCTAGTCCAGATAAAGATCTTTCAATTGATGTAATGTAATTAAAACAAATTGAAGTTTTAGAGTATGATTAAAGCTAAATTAGTATTGTATAATATGATTAAAACTAATTATATATGTGTTCATTGAAAAAAAAAATTATATTTCAATTTTTATATATTTGCAACAAAGATGCTATAGCAAAATATGGAAAAATCCTGTCTGGCTCATAACTAGAAAACTATTAGACCCAGAGCTTTCAAACTTGGCAAAAATATACATCTAAAGTAGAAGGTGTGTCACGGCCTATTTCAAGGTCACTGTGACCTTTAATTAAAGTAAGCAGCTGTTATCTTAATTTATCTCTTGGGAGTTGGGCAAAAAGATGCTTGTGTTAATTAAGAGTTCTTGATGGCTAGTCCAGATAAAGATCTTTCAACTGATGTTCTAGTGTATGATTAAAACTAAATTAGTACATTGTATTGTATAATATGATTAAAACACAGGCACCTGACGTTACTTATTTTTCTTTTAATAAAAAAAATATACACATACCGAATAATAAACAAGGTACCCATCGAAACCCGCCATCTTGGATTTTCGAAGTAGGTCATCACTTGTATTTTCGTCTGAAACTCCGACAAATAAATTCCCTGCAACCATATTCTTTCTGTAGCCAGTCTTTCGAGGTCTAAACTTACGGACACTGCAACCAGAAAGGCACATTACACTTGCAAATATTGAAAATCCCTCGTCAAACTCAACCTACTGCTTCAACATTCCGAGAAATCGCCAAAAGGGGGCCGGAAGTTTACATCAATATGCTAATGGGAATTCCGTATTTGTAAGTTTTGTGGTGGATCTAAAGCGGGGTGTCATAATTACTTTGAAATTTTAATGAATATTTCGATTATAGAAATGAAAAAAATGCAAAATGGGAAAAATAAAACACTTCTTATAAATATACCTGTAAAATATACTATATTAATCTATACAGGTCGTTGCGTTTGAAACAATTTTGAATTAAAGAGAGGGGGGGGTGCTTACAAAAAAATCAATAACAAATCATCTAGAGTTAATTGAATCGTTTTCAAAAAAACAATAGACTGCAAACCATCCAGTTATATATATGTATACATATATACCTGGCATATGCTTTATTGAAAAAGGAGAGGGATCACACTGAAAAAAGGATATGTAATGAAATCAAATATAAGCCTACGCGACATGTATATGTATAATCTGTCACCAAGAAAAAAATTAAAATGTCACCATGTCACTACTTTATTGCAATACATAAAATTGCAGATCTCAACATTCCCTGGGATAATTTTAGTGTGGACCCCCCCCCCCCCTCACACACGTGCGTACATACTTATAAAGTCAATCTTCTGCACGGATAGCGCTCAATCAGAGCATCAATAATGACAGTGTTATTGATTATATTTAGTGCATGTAAGTAGGGCCTTACAACCAACTCAATTTGTCTCAAAAATGTTCATTGATCAGCTAGCATGATCAGGCCGATCTTCGACATTTACAAAACATAATCGCTTTATTAATCAAGCTATATCGAAATTATTTTGAGAGAAATAAAAAGAATACATGTATATTACGTTGTATTATTGTCTGAAATATTGTTCATATATACTAACTTTCGCCGGTTATTTTTAAAAATAAATGGCACAAATATATTGACCAATCAAAAAAGGGCTTTCCCTAAGAATTTCAAGTCGTATGTTTTTGATCGGAATGTTGAAGCAGTAGGTCGAGTTTGATGAGGGATTTTCAATATTTGCAAGTGTAATGTGCCTTTCTGGCTGCAGTGTCCGTAAGTTTAGACCTCGAAAGACTGGCTACAGAAAGAATATGGTTGCAGGGAATTTATTTGACGGAGTTTCAGACGAAAATACAAGTGATGACCTACTTCGAAAATCCAAGATGGCGGGTTTCGATGGGTACCTTGTTTATTATTCGGTATGTGTATATTTTTTTTATTAAAAGAAAAATAAGTAACGTCAGGTGCCTGTGGATTAAAACTAATTATACATGTGTTCATTGAAAAAAAAAAAAAAAATTATATTTCAATTTTTATATATTTGCGACAAATTGCAGTCATGTCTCACTAGTATTATTTGTTATAATCAATCCCTACACTGTAAGTCTCTTACAGATGTATAATAAGAAATGGAAATTAGATAATTGAAATCTGTGTCAATCTGTTAATCAAGGCTACCTGATTTTCTTGCATCCTAACCAATGTATGATTATTGAACAATATTTGACGGGCGTATCATGCTGTGGCGGGGCACTTTATTGAGTTATCAGTGTTCAAGATAACAAAGTTCAACTGTATTGTGTACCAAATTATAGTTAAAAATTATGATTGTAAACACTTTAAAAGATAACCTATATGTTACAATGAAGCGCATTGAAGTGGTAAAATTCTCCGTTTGGATATATATATATATATAATGACACGCCCATATTTTTAGAAACGAGAAAGTAATATTCGTCGTAGTTTTAGGACATCCCATTCTTCGCGACAAGCATCATGAGTTACACTGAAATGGAGCTTTAAAAAAAAATAGAAGAGGGAGTTAGAGACTCGCTTCTGTTAAACACAAATTGCAACGAATATGTACATATTTTTGAACTTATCATGTCTATTGAAGTTACCACAACAAATGTTTCGGTCGAACACGTGTTTACTCGGTGTTTATTTAGATCCTCAATTTGATTGGCTATTATATTTATGGAAAACCTGTTCTACAGGTATTTGAAGAAACAACTTGACCGTTTTATCAATTTCTAAAGAAATGGGCGTGTCAAAAGATGACTATAAACACTCTAAATATAGCTCAAAACGTTCCATTCGAACGGAAAATTTTACCACTTCAATGCGCTTCATTGTAGCAAAGTGGCTTGACCAGAAGTTATCTTGAAGTTTGAGAGTTTATCTGTTAATCTTGATCGGCATTTTAAGAAAACATGATATGTGGTTTTTTTTTCAATTGAATAAAATCATTTATAAAAACAGGCATTTTTATCAGTTATAAATACAAAATGGGGAAAATATGCATGAAATTGGCAGAGAAAGTGAAATAAGCATAAAATTTTAACCACTTTATGTAAATTAATAAAATATCAATTACAAGTGTCTTGATCATGCACTCACTAATTGCCATCAAAACCAAATAGCTCTCATTGACTTATTCAGTGTAAAATGCCCATTGAGGAATTAGACCAGTGTTATCAAAATAAAAACCTGACCAGAATATTACTCCAGGTAGATAAAGCCCAGCAAACACCTTAAACGTCTGTTAGTTCATCAACATTTAGAAGGCAAATTCTCAATCCTGTAAGATTTACTTTCATTGATTTTATGTTTGAATTCTAGCTTCTTTTTTTGAGATAAGGCTTTACAAGGTAACACTATCAATTATTCTTATGGAAGCATCAAAGTATTAATTCTGATATGTTCTATAGATAAAATGATTAAATGTGTTATGGATCATGTGAATGGTCTGTTTGTTTTGATGTCTTGAAGTCGGAATTGTGAGGATATATCGAAATTCCCTGAATTCACTTGGAAAATTTTTCAAGCCTAGAATAAAAAGATTTTAAGGTCAGTTTTACTGAACATATTATCTATAAAGGTATTTTTAGGTCACCTGAGTAAACTCAGGTGACCTATTGCTATCTGTTTTCGTCCGTCGTCGTGCGTCGTGCGTTGTGCGTTAACATTTGAACATTTTCAGCTTCTTCTCTGCAACCACTGAACCAATTTTAACCAAATTTGGCATAAAGCATCTATGGGTGAAGGGGAACAAAAATTGTGAATTTCATGATCCCTGCCCCACTGGGGCCTGTGGGGTGGGGCCAAAACTACTAAAATTAGTGCAATCTTTAAAAATCTTCTTCTTTACTCCTGGACATCAAGCAGTCAAACTGTTTGCATGATTGTAATCAGCAATGATTCCTCTACCAAAATTGTGAAATTCATGGCCCTGGGGTCAGGGGTTTAGTGCTAGGGCGGGGCTAAATTAGGTAGTGAAAATGCATTATTTCTTTGAAAATCTTCTTCTCTGCTCCTGGGTATTAAATAAACTAACTAAGTACATGGTTATGATGAGCAAGAGTGCCTCTACCAAAATTGTGAATTTTATGGCCCCAGGGTCAGGGGCTCTGGTGTTAGGGCGGGGCTCTATTGATTATATAGTGAAAATACATGAATTCTTTGAAAATCTTCTTCTCTGCTCCTGGGTATTAAATAAACTAACTAAGTACATATTTATGATGAGGCTTTTTACCAAAAAATTTTATGGCCCCAGGGTATGTGTTAGGGCGGGGCTTTTGATTATATAGTGAAAATACATGAATTCTATGAAAATCTTTTCTTATCCTGGGTATTAAATAAACTAACAAGTACATAGTTATGATGGAAAAGTGCCTGTACCATAATTGTGAAATTGGCTGGTGTTAGATTGATTATATAGTGAAAATACATGAATTCTTTGAAAATCATCTTTTATGCTCCTGGGTATTAAATAAACTAATAAGTGCATAGTTATGATGAGCAAGAGTGCCTCTTCCAAAATTGTGAATTTTATGGCCCCAGGGACAGGGGCTCTCATTGCCTTTTATATAGTGAAAATACATGAATTCTTTGCCATTTCTAGGAAATAAATAAACTAACTAAGTGCATAGTTAAAATAAAAACCTGACCAAAATAATGAATTTTATGGCCCCAGGATCAGGGGTTCTGGTGTTAGGGTGGGACTGTATTGATTATGTAGTGAAAATACATGAATCCTTTGAAAATCTTCTTCTCTGCTCCTAGGAAATAAATAAACTAACAGTATATAGATGAGGCAAATTCTTCCATAATTGTGAATTTTATAGCCCCAGGGTTTACTGGTGTTTCTATTGATTATATATGAAAATACATTAAATCTTTGAAAATTTTTTCTCTGCTCCAGGGTATTAAGCAGATAACACTACCAATATAGTTATGATGGAAGGGCATCACAATTGTGAATTTCAAGGCCCCAGGGTCAGGGGTACCATAGAGGGGGGTTGTTATATACTGAAATGAATGAATGGATTGAAATGTGTTTGGATCAAATATGAAGGGTCAGGGGTTCATGTATGGTAGGGGCTCTACTGATTATTGCTGAATATTACTGATTAGTTGAAATGTATTTTGTGTTCCCTTACCCTGTATGGGTATTAAACAAACTAAGCAACTGCTAAGTGTTTGTTATGATGATCAATGGTGCCTCTAAAAAAATTGTGAATGCCATAGCATCTGGCTTAAAACATGAATCAAAATTCAATCAAGTTGTTATATAGTGACCTATAATTTTTGTTATCATAAATTTCAATGAAGTGACCAAGTGATTTCTTATTCTTTATAGCTACAAAATGCGACAAGTTGGAATTCTGAAGGTGGCCAAACAATCTATCAGAACCATGAGGTTACGAGCGGGGGCTGAGGAATTCGAGAAATCCATTGCTGCTCTGACTATTCAGCTAGCCTGGCGCAAATACTACAGGTAACAATTTGTTTATTTTATAACTATTTGACTATTCAGCTAGTTACGGGTAACAAAAGTTTAAAATATAAAACAGAAGTCTATTGCTGCTCTATCTAGTAGTTAACCTGGCACAGATATGTGCTACTTATAACAAATTTCAATGAAAGCTATACTGTATACCACTGTATTTAGTGACACCTTATTTTCACGAAATAGCTATCTGGTATTTATATAACTAGGCGAAATAAAATTTTCACAAGCTTCTATAATTCTTTAGAATACAAAAAAATGCGAGATTAAAATTTTCGCAAGAAGACAGACTGATCATATGTTATTGCGTGAAAATAAAGTTCTCGCCAATAAAAAGTGATAAACAGTAACAAGTGATTTCTGAAGACCAAGTTTGTATCTTTTTTTTTTGTTTTGATGTTTAATTATTTTTATGAAAAGAATCACAACAATTCAAATTTGGTTCAAATTTATTGGACAGATTAAAAAAATTAATAAAGAGAGTTCATTTGGTATAATCAATGTAATCAGGCAGAGAGTTCGATATCATTAATATATAAACATGATTGAGCACTATAAGCTTGTCTGCCCTTGATTGCTCAAGAATGTAGAATCAGTGATATCATATTCATAGCTCTCTTTTCTTCTGATGTAAAGCAGCGGGTCATTTAAAGAGACCCATCAATACATGTCCTTTTTTTAAAGCACATAAAAGTTGCATTTACTGTGAGGCAGGGTTTTCTGCAGAGCCAATACATTGATTCAAAGGAGGAAAAAAAAACTATTGATTATTATATCCATGATTTACTATGAATGACAAAAAAAGATACATTAATGTCAGTTAGATGGATAGAATGATTTCTCTTGGCTGGATTTTGGATTTAAGTGAATCTTGAAAAATGGTGAGTTCATTCATACTGATTTGTTTGAGTTTAAATCTAGATTTGAAAATTTCTATGCTCCTGAAGCTTTAAATCACTTTCAAAGTAGAAACCACACCAGCAGAGCAAAGTTGCTGGCAATGACATATTAAATCATCATTTCGTGTACAGTACATGCTTATGAGATAATTCCTAAGGAGACAATTTGACAGGTAGCTGATATTGCTTTATCATAGATTACATCATTTTTTTGTATACCTGGTATTTCATTGCATGTATCTTTCTTATGATACAGTTAAAGTATATCATTGAGGGCGTTAGCAAGATTCCACTTCCCTTGGACCTGCCTGGGGGCCTTAAAACTTAGACAAACTCACTTTTGATCTCAGTCTCACTTTTCCACTATATATTCCTTTTGAAAAAGTGAGACTGAGATCAAAAGTGAGCTTGTCTAAATTTTATGGCCCCTAGGCCAGGTCTATTTTCCTCGACTGTGCCTCAGGAAATAGTCTTGGTCTTGGGGAACTAGAATCTAAAATGCTGACTCCCTCAATGATAGATTTTTTAACTGTTTTATTATACCAATACAAAAGTTCAAAAAGTAGATAATGGGGTTTAACTGTACATGTTTATAACTTATATAAATAAATATATATATATTAAGAAATCCCAAATCTTTAACAAAAAGTTTGAAAAAAGCTATAATAGGTCACAGACAAGGTCACAAGGTCATTGACCTTGGTGTCAGTTGAAAGAACTTGATTAGCAGAGTTTTCATAGCAAATATGAAGTCTCTATATCTTATGATTCAAAAGTTATAGCAAATTAAGGTACAAAAAAATAGCATATAGGTCACAGTCAGGGTCTCAAGGTCATTGACCTTGGTATCATTTGAAGGAGTTTATTAGTGGAGTATGCATGCATACCAAAAATTAAGTCTCTATCTTTCATGGTTCAAAAGTTATGACAAAGGTTTAAAGTTTGCAGACAAACAGACTAACAAACAGATAAACAGACAGACAGGACAAAAACAATATACAATTTGATCTATCAATCCGAGCGCATAAAAATCATACAGATAGACGCAAGGCTTTTTATTAGTTCTGTTATTAGAACTAAAAGCTATAATTGTACAGTTTTTGAAGATGAATCAACAGTGCAGGATTGGTTAAGCGGCAAACTTTGTCAGATGCTGAATAATGAATGTAAATCCATTTACTCTTGTTTATATATGTTGTAAGTGTGCTTTTACATTCACCAACAAACTCAATGTTGTTTCAATGAATCAATTTTTGCTCTTGAAAAAGACTTTTAGATGAAATATGGCATTGACCATATACAGGAGTCTTAATAGGATTATGAGTGACTGCTTATTGGGTGCGCCTTAATTGATATCGATAAAACTCCTACTGCCGTAATATAAATGCGTTTGGAATAAAATCCACAGCATATTATCAAATCAAAATTGATTTTTTAATAACATTGTAAGTAAAAACCCATACCTACAGGGTGGGCCAAAAGTTTTGGCATCAACTTTGGACCATTTAATATTAAAAGCAAAAGTAATTAAAATCAAGATTTTTTCTAATCTGCATTGTGTTTCCTAAAACTACCGGTATATTTATTTCAATGTTCAATACAAACAATTATAGGCAGGAAAAGCTTGATCAAACAGTAAGGATTTCCTGTTAAATGTGATCTTTCATTAATTATAATGTCTGCCTACTTTCCTAAACTTTTGGGTTAAGACCGTGAATGTTTAAAGGGCTAAATCTGCTATTGTTCCCGTTTTAATCTCAAATCCATTGCAATACACTCTTTGTCTTCAAGTGAAAATCGCACACACTTGGCAGTACATTGTACAGTAAAATTCAAATCTGAATGTCGTTGAACAGTGCACGTTGCTATTGACAAATCAATTTCAGTGAGATATTCTTTTTTTTATATGAAAAGAGAGAAGGGTACATTGCAATGTTGTGTATTCATATTAGACATAAAAGAGAAAATATGATTTGAATTCATCAATTGTCACTTTCTAAAGGTAGGTATTCAATTTGTGTTAATTTATGAAATACTATTGTGTGAAACATTTTGCCGAGTTTGATATGCCATGAATCATTTGTGACCTTAAAAATAAATGGCTTCCAAAAAGCCCGTTTTTTATGTAATTAAATTTGTGGATAAAGGCAAAGGATTTTTTATTATTCATGCCATGTTGAAGATATTGAATTGTAATTAGAATTTGGACATTCATTGTACTTTTAGATGGAATTTATTTCAATTGCTGTTTACTATTATACTTTCATACATGTGCATATTTCATATCCTTAGCCACCCCCTTCCATTTGCTTGATTAGTATTACACAACCAGGAAGGGTATGGGGGGCATCTAGTACCTAAATGCACTTGTTATGACCCCGATCCATGTCACAATTTGATGTACAACCTTTTCATGCAAGTATAAAATTAGTGTTAAACTGAATCAAGTTAGAAACCTGGTTTGATAAGTTCAAGGTCACTTACATTAAAATTATGATATTGAACCACAATCTTTGTTTCAGGTTTGTTTTACCAGCATGTGGGTACTTTTTGCTGTTCATGAATTTCATTCTTTAACTGAAATCTTTATTTCTCATGAAGTCCTTTTCATTTGATTTTTTCAGGCGGAAACTACTACGCCAACTACATCCCAATAAACGCCAGCTTCATATGTGGGATCCTGAAGTCATAGCCATGAAACAAAGAGCACTAGTCAAATCAGTTTACGGTCAGTATCACAGAAGACTTGAATTATATGTCATTTATTGATAAATCTCCAGCATATTTTATATCCAAAATTAAATTGTCACCAAACTTTGACTTTTATTGTCAAATCTGAATTATACAATGTACTTCTATGGTACTATTCTGCTCAGGTATTGAAATAACACTGTGTTAATTGTCCTGATATGATATGTGTACTACAATCAGAAGGATTAAAGATGCAATCTGCATAGAAGCAATTTTCTTTGAACAAATATTTAAAAAATCAGACATGTTTGTGAAACTCTTACAAAAATGTAAGTGTTTCACTATGTACCTATGTACCAGCTCATGACCAGCAAGGTTATTGTTTTTAAAAAAAAAGTGAAACTCCAAGGTCATATGGTCAAAAATTTTGTAGCTAAGGAAAGCCCTGTCACAAAAAAAAAAAATAAATACCGGTAGCTGATATATGAAATCCCCAGAAAGTTATGGTCTTGCAGGTCAATTTTTTTTCTAAAATATGTCAAGGTCATGGGTAAAAAATATTTGTACTCAAAAAGGGCTTTGTCACCAGAAATTCACTTATAAAAAGGGGTGCGTATCATTACCGCTACATTTTCGAAATTTTCATTACCGCTACAAAAAAACGTTACATTACCGCTACATATAAAAGTTTACATTACCGCTACATTGCCTCTTTCGTTAATCAGCTACTTATGCATGTACAGTACAACCTATACATATACAAGACCTGTTTCCCTGCTCACCACGGGGAGGTGAAAGTAGGACTTTGCAGGATGGTTTGTTTTTATTATTATTAAAATCAATTTTATTTCATAAAACACTGAAAATTAAATCTAATACTAATAATACGTCGAGGTCTGTTTTGCAGCTGCTTTTGCAACTCTTTTCAACGTATCTCCACAATTTTGAGTTTTTGAAAGTCTTATTTTTTTCAAAATTTATAACCATTGATAAGTAAGCCGGCATTCCCTTGATTTGTAAGAAACTTCTCAATGGTGGTCATAATGTTCAGATGAGGCTAAATAATTACTTTTCGACTACAGAGTTATTTGTATAACGTTATATTGTCATTCTGATTAGAATTCAAATCAAAATTGTACTTCACTACTTAGTGAGTGAATTCTGTTGATTAGAACTCATAGACCGAACCATACCTGGCTAAATCGATATGTAGCGGAAGTGAGCTGTTTTTGGCTGATTCAATATGTAGCGGTAATGAGTTGTTTTCGGCTGGAAAAATGTAGCGGTAATGATCGGTAGAAAATCTGAAAAAATGTAGCGGTAATGAGTTGAAATTTTTGGCAATGTAGCGGTAATGTTGACCTCCCATAAAAAGGTAAGGAAAGTATTAAACTTTTTATAGATAAACAGACAGATACATAAATAAATTTCAGACTACAGGGGCATGTTCAAGATATTAAAATTTTTATTATTGTCAGAATAAGGATATTCATAGATTTGTTGACGTTTCAGGAGAGAAAGTCAACGCCACATTTTGGCATCCACAACAGAGGAAACAGACAAGGCCTTACTGGGCAAAGTGGATCCCTTCCCCTGCTGGTAAGTAGAGGAAGTTAACCAGAGATTTAAAGTCTTCACAGTGGTGCTGTTCTCTTTGTTTGGGTCAGAGAAGATGGGGTTATACTGGAGTTATTGTGTCTGTGTGTCAGAAGATCTGTATGTCTAGATTTAGATCAGCTCATCCCAAGTATCCAAAGCAAACTCACATCGGTTTATCTCTAGTTGCTTCCTCTAATGCATGCACTGAGGACTGCATCTTACCTTAAGTGACATTTGAGTGACTCTGTTCAAGGCCAGCAACTGGCAACAGGGCTATTCATGATTTGTGACAAGTGTATCAAAATAAGACCTCCCATGATACATGGTCCATCCATTGATGCTTAGCCTGACACAGTTTAGTATGCATCTAACCTTTGGAATGCATAAAAGGTCTTGTCCATTATTAGTTGATGCAGCATCTGACATACTTTTTAAGCTTGAGTGATAAAGGTTAAGGGCACCATTCAAGGTCTTTTGAAAAACTTTTCCTCTGATTTTTGTGGTAAATGCAAACAAGAATTGTTCTACTGAACTACGTGTTATATAGTAAGGTATTCCTTATACATTCTGTAGTTTATAGCAGTTCATTGTGTGAGATTTCCCCATGGAAATATCACTAGTAATCTTTGGCAAAGATTTTTCAAAAAGTTTCACTTTAAAGTGTCAAGAGTCAAAATATGATTCACTCCGGATGGTAATTTAGACAGGGAGTAAGGAATGGGAATGTGTTGAGCTTTGGACATACATTATTTGTTTTCTCACTCTGTGTTAAACATGTTCCTCTTGATTTATTCTGCCATATTATTTCTTTACACAGCGTTATCTTATAATTTTGCTGTTGATAACTATCATCCCCTGGCCAAGAGAGGATTCCTCCCGACGCCATTTCTTGACGATTCCGGGCATCCCAGAGATTTCGACTGGAAACCAATGGAAGAGGAAGATTTAGAAAGTAAGTATACTTAGATAATAAAATGGAAAATGAGATAGAAAAAATATATTTGTATGTATTTTTCATACATAGGGGAAGTCAAAAGAATAAATATTTTCTCAATTCTATTAATTCAACAAAGGTTGATTTGATTTTTGAATTAATTTTCCTCAAGATGCTGCATAAAGGTTTCCCAAGTTAATGTTCCTCCATGAATTTGGAAATATGAGTCAAGATTTTTTAAAATTATGTTTTAAAAGTAGGGCACATGCAACTCTAAACCAAATCATCAAATTAAAAACTTAATTGTTCTGTACATAAATGTGATCTGCTGTGGTCTGTCATCTAGACAGTAGTACATCCTAGTACAAAAAAAGATCGGGTATTTAATTGATTTTAACAGCTTTTGATTTTTGGTTAGAGATGGAAAATTGCACCTTCATTAAAATTTTACTATTTAGAACAAATCTATAATTTCTATGTATCAGTTATGTCTGAAATTTTATCTTTGTATGCTTTTGGGTTTATGAAATACTAGCGGCTGCCAGTCTCCCAAAAGCATTAAAAATCACATATGAATATGATACATATATATGAATGAAATTATCATATCACATTTTTTAATGTCATAGATTTATTGCATGATTATTATTTTTTTTAAGGAAACTTGAGAGATGTACGAATTAGTGATAACCCATCCAGAAAATCTAGCCGTTACTCTTACAATTTCACTCCGTCCCGCGGGGCTGATGCAACAGACATGTCTGGCCTCAAGAAGAAACTTCAACAGATTGAAGATGAATAGGCATATATTTTTGTTAAGGGAATATGAAAACTTTGGGGATTTTTTTGTTTCTGATTTTATAAATGATACAGTACCATATGCATTTTCAGTCTGTGCTAATTATTGTACAGAAAATAAAATTGTTTAGGCATAATTATAACCTAAAGGAGAAGAAAAGAGTGTTTTGATTTTTTATCATAAATTGCAATTCTTATATCATTTACATGTACATCACTTTTAGTGATAAAATGCTAGTCTGAAATGAAGTTTTTACCCATTTTATTTCATATTATAGTATAAAAATGACATAATTTTTATATCTGTCATGGTTTGTTTTCATACAGAGAATAATAACTGATGATAGTAAATATAGACACAATGTCTGAATTTTCTCTGACAGTATATTAAATTAATGAAAATAAAAGAAACTGCTGATTTATTTTTGTGGCAACTTAACAAAAGAAAGTATAATGTTTTGTCATATTTTTGTATTTTCTGATAAATTTGAACTTGTAATGATTTATTGTCTTTAGAGATATTTTCCCATAAAGTATGGAATTTTATGGATGTAGAGTTCTGGAACATTTTTTTCCAGACAAAGATTAATTTTGATATGGATTTCTGAATTCCGTCCGTTATTTATAAGTTATAAGCAGAATGGTATTTAATGACTGTCTGATATCATCAATGCATTAATTTTTGATGAAGTTATTGTGCATGTACTTTAATACACTTTTGTGCTACTAAACCAAAGTATTTTAGTTTTTCGTAATGTAGCATTTTGTATTTCGTTTTGAAAAGTGTGTTTTCAGATGTTGGTATGTATGTACCACAATGTAAGTTTTAGTGGAATATGCTCATAGATATTTTGCACTGCTTTAAAAAGACGTACAATACAGATATCATTTTAAACTGTAGAAATGAGTGTTTTGATTATTTTTTTTAAAAATATTAAGAAAAAAAAAATGTCATTTTATTTTTAAAGATCAAATTTAATTGTACATGAATAATTGATGATTATTGGCATATGGATTCACGGTTTGTATTTAGAGGAAATAATTTTGTATTTTATGAGTAGTTGTTAATTAGATTTTAAAAAAAACCCTGTAATTAAAGGACTGTAAGGATATCTGGAGTTCTGTCCCTTAATTGATGCTTATGGATCATGCTTGATTCTGTTATGAGCATGAATTTCTTATTACTTATGATGTCTGTGATACAGACACTGTATACAAAATTGTGATATATTTATTGTTATTGATGAATGATTGTAGGAATATATTCTGTTATTTACATTATTAAAGAGATATAAATCACTTACATTGGAATTTTGGTTATCTTTATTATTCCCTCTATAATAACCCCTTGTGTGTAATAGTGTGTGTGTTTGGTTGACCTTTTGCATGTGCATGCTTTATGGGAGGGGAGGGGAAAGATATGCATGCTGTGTGGGAGGGGAGGAGAGGGGATAGATGTGCATCCTTTGTGGGAGGGGAGGGGGTAGATATGCATGCTCTGTGGGAGGGGATAGTTGTGCATGCCCTTTGGGAGGAGAGGGGGTAGATGTTCATGCTTTGTGGGAGGGGAGGGGAGGGGATAGATGTGCATGCTTTGTGGGAGGGGAGGGGATAGGTGTGCATGCTTTGTGGGTGGGGAGGGGATGGATGTGCATGTTTTGTGGGAAGGGAGGGGATGGATATGCATGCTTTGTGGGAGGGGAGGGGATAGATGTACATGCTTTGTGGGAGGGAATGGGATAGATGTGCTTGCTTTGTGGGAGGGGAGGGGATGGATATGTATGCTTTGTGGGAAGGAAGAGGATAGATGTACATGCTCCATGGGAGGGGAGGAGATAGATATGCATGCTTTGTGGGAGGGGAGGGGAAGAGGTAGATGTGCATGCTTTGGGGGAGGGGAGGAGATAGATGTGCATGCTTTGGGGGAGGGGAGGGGGAAGATAGATGTGCATGTTCTGTGGGAGGGGAGGGGATAGATATGCACACTCTGTGGGAGGGGAGGGGATAGATATGTATGCTCTGTGGGAGGGGGGAGGATGCATGGCTCTGCCATGCCCTTTACCATATACAAGTAATCTTAAAGGCATTATTAATAGCAGTAATAAATGATATTTTAGATGGAGTATTGATCACTGATATTTTGTTGTATAGAAAATTAATCTCCTTTACTCTACATCAAATATTGTTTTACATGGATGTATATGTATGTATTAGGTGATACTTCCCTGTGTTACTTGCAATTGAGTAAAAGAGACCATGTAGTTTTTGTTTGGACTAAGGTATGTACAACAGTTATTCTATCAATCTGCAGTAAAAATTCTGCATGAAATATACACGGGGAGGGGACACTTTTTCTAAACATATTCTCTACTATTGAAAATGCTCATCCCTTTTGTTGCTGTATAGTTAAATTTTGGTGATGTAGTGTATGCCTATGAATACAATGTGTATAAAAGTTAATACCGAAGGAAGTGGAACACCAACATCCCTTCCCCACCCACCCAAACATAATAGGATTTTCGAGTTTTGGACAATTTGATACACCCCCCCCCCCAAAAAAAAAAAACAAACAAACAAACAAACACACACATACACTTTATTTTTGCTTGTCAATATTTTTCATGTAAGTTATAAGTTAAAATAGTTGATTTTTCCCCTGATTGTTTTCAAAGCCGATGCTACTGATATATATAATTTTATATTACGTAAAATCATTTGGGCTTGGAATACAGGTGGTATTTTGATACATACTCAAAGTTTAGTTGTAGCTATGAAATCCTCACATTGATCTTTCTTTTTTGAGTATTAAAATGTAATGTTCATTGAAGAGTCGCTTGCCATTTGCCATTTCTTTTTGTGTGTTCAAACCCTCCAGGTTTTATTTTTTTAAAATTAAATAACACCTTCCGAAGCTTGGACTAGTATATATACTTTAAAAAAAAACAAAAAAAAAACAACAGTCCACGTACCTGTGATTGTATTTGTACAGGTCGGCGGAAAATAAAAAAGAAAAAAATAGGGTCATTCGGCTGTCATGCATGGCTACATGTATAAATGCCTGATCATATCAAATCAATATCAAGTTTCTCGTAAGAAAAATGTGAAAAATCAATTTCTAGTACTTAACATACACGACATATAAAGTTTGATAACGAATTCAAAACAATTCATTTATTTCCCCCCCTCCTTTTTTTGGGGGGTGGGGGTTATGGAACTAATGGACACAACAAATGAAACCGCGAATTAAGAAAATTCGAGGGCTTCCTTTTTTTACGGGGTCAAAACTTGGTTATCGATTATTGTATAAACTAATCCCCCAGGAAGGGGGACCCGGAAACCCCTCCTCTCGACTAAATCTGTTACATGTTACAATTTGTTAATCATTCGTTTAGTACATGTACGTTTAGCAGTTGTTTGACATGTTTATACTTCTAGGATTTGCTACCGTCTCTAAATGTGTGTTCCTCCTTATAAATCGGTGCGTAATTTTTTTTTAAACTTAAACACAACAATTTTTTCATCACTGTTCACAAGGTATTAAAACAGCTTCAATCCGAACATCTCATACACTTTTTTCGCAAAAATAGACATTACCGGTATATTGGCATTGAAAATTGGGATTTACCTTTTTGCTGGTTTAGCCCCCCCCCCCCTCCCCCCCCACTTTCGATTTGCTTTCGACGCCCATGTATCTAAAGGACATTAAAATATGCATGGATTCAAGATTTTTTTTCAGGAGGAAAAAAAGATAATACATAATTTCGCCAATCCCGAAAATCATATTTCAACACCATGATCACAGGGGCTTGCTCCCGGCGTGTAATAATTATTTATTTTTAAAAACCATATATGGTAATAATGTTTTTTTATTACTGTTTAGGATTTTTTTTTTTAAATAAATAATTATTACACTCCGGTAGATAGCCCCTGTGATTTCAGTCATAGGTCGGGTGGGGAGTGTTGGGAGATTTTGCCGCTTTTTAAATAATTGCCTCATAGATTGATCATTCTTCATGTTCTTCAGCCGTTTCCCGTAGCATTTATTGTTATCTATGAAAAAAGAGGCCCAAAATCATTTTGAGTTACTTTAATCTATAAATTAAACTTGGAAAAATCCAGGGGCGAAACACCATCCCTTTTCTAGATCCGCGCATGTTTTTTTTTTCCTTGTCCGGAAATCTATATGCTTTTCATATTCAATTCTAAATTTACATTCCCAATAAAATTTCCGATGAAGAGTAGTAAATAAAATCCTGACGTTAGTGATGGTAAGATTTAGGTTGAAAGGAGTTTCAAAGAAACTACCCTTGTTATTACAAATTCCTTTATTCAAGCAATTTTTCTAACCGTATTTAAGTTTTTTTTTAAATTTCAGATTACAATTTCAAGGCGCTATGCCGTGTCATTTTTGGCAGTGGGGAAGAGAAGCGTACCTTTAGCAGTGTTTGTCATTTATATTGGATTTGTGACATTTGCATTATTTAATTATCGAAGTCATTGTTTATTTACTGAACCAACTACGCTTATTAAATACCACTTACTTGAAAAAGAAGAGGCAGATAAATTGTGTAGAATTCCTTGGGATTCCCTAGGTATGAATAACATCAGTTTCTTATGTACTGCAGGGCTCAACATAGATAGAATGTTCTATCGTTAAAATGATAAATGTCCTACAGACCCGGTTTAACGATAGAATTCGTTACGTGTATTCGTAATGTAGCAAAAGAAACACGGGCGATAACTCGTACTAGTACATTTACTGTACATTTGCTACCAACACTCTTGGAGAGTTCCGAATTGTAAACATGGCAGGTAAATTTGAAGCGAGAGAAAAACGTTGAGAAAATTAATTGGATTTTCGTCTTTATATGGATTATTTTTTGGGGTAAAAGACATAAACAAGCTCAAAAAGGTTTGTTTTGATTAATTTGATAGTTATTTCCATTGCAAATCGTTTTATATTCTTCAAAATCGTTTCGGAGCGGATCCGCTCCGATTTGCTACATTGCAAGTATATGGGACGTATCCTAACTGTGGTGAGGGCTTGTACCATGACACAGTTAGATTATTCTAACTACGACTGGTCGTGTAAAAATATTTCGACCAAAGTTCAAATGATTTTTCAATCAGGTTTCACTTTCATTTTTTGATCTCAACTAAAAAATCATATACTTAACAAAAATAATGTTTGTTTCCTGTAGGCCTATTGCTGTAAATGTAATCCAACCGACTCAACATGCAGCCGGTGGATTTTTTTCTGCCAAATCTGTGTTTTATCAATCAGCTGATACAATATTTGAAACATAAAATATGCCAACCTAGTCAACATTCACTTTAAATATAAAAAGTAATGATCATTATTATATCATTTAGCAGGGAGGCAGTCAAAGCGCCCCCTAAGAAAAACGTCCCGGTCAAAGCGTTCCCTAATTTTAGTCAAAACGTCCCCTGATTTTAGTCAAAGCGCCCCCTAACATATTTTTATAGAAAAAATACCGCCCCCAAATATTGGTCAAATATTGGTCAAAGCGTCCCTGGTGATTTTAGTCCAAGTGTCCCTGATTTCAGTCAAAGCGCCCCCTAACATATTTTTATAGAAAAAATACCGCCCCCAAATATTGGTCAAAGCGTCCCATGATTTTAGTCAAAGCGCCCCCTGATTTTAGTCAAAGCGACCCTGACTTTGGTCAAAGCACCCCCTAACATGATTTTTAAAGAAAAAATACCACCCCCAAATATTGGTCAAAGCGTCCCCTGATTTTAGTCAAAGCACCCCATGATTTTGGTCAAAGCGTCCCCTAACATATTTTCATAGAAAAAATATCTTATATAAACAAATCTTTACTGTCCCCAAGAAATGGGCAAAGCGTCCCCTGGTTTTGGTCAAAGCGCCCCCTAATATATTTTTTTACTTTTTTAGGTAACTGCAAAACAATGATAATATTATAAATACAAAACAGTTTTATTCCGTAACATATTAAGGGGCGCCTTGACCAAAACTCAGGGGATGCTTTGACCAAAATCAAGGACGTTTTGACCATTGCTTGGGGAGGGTTCCCAGACGATTTTTTTATCTAAGAAAGAAATGTAAGGGGGCGCTTTGACCAAAATCAGGGGGCGCATTGACTAAAATAAGGGGACACTTTGACCAAGATTTGGGGGGCAGTTTTGTAACATCATTTAACTGTAAAATTCTAAAGGGCGCTTTGACCAAAATCGGGGGGCATTTTGACCAAAATCAGGGGACGCTTTGACCAATATTTGGGGGAAGTTTTGTAATATCATTTTACTGTAAAATCTATAGGGGCACTTTGACCAATATCAGGGGGTGTTTTGACCAAAATCAGGGGAAGCTTTGACTGGGACGGTTTTATTAGGGGGCGCTTTGACTGGATTTCAGTTAGCAATCCCCCATAACTTTTGGAACTTCGTTTTCTACGCAAGACAGCCATGATGGATGTCCACTGTAAATATCACACCTGGTTAGTTCAGTGCGGGATGTTTGAACCCATTACTTAGGCATTATGGAAAGTGAAAATAAAAGTTTTAAACTGGGAAGTTCTCAATTTATGAGGTATCTTATTAAGCCAAAAAATAATCTACTGACCAACCCTTGTTTTTAGGCTAATATTACCATGATTACAGGAAACCAAAATATTTTATTCCATAGTACATGTAGTATACATATCAATATTTCATAAATAGTGCTGTCATTTGACTTTCTCTTTAATGCTAACTCTACCAAGATTTTTCCTTCCTGCTAGGTCATTTACAACAACTGTTGCATGGTTTGATTTCATTTAACCATGCAGTCATAGAACTAAATCGAATTGAAATACAACTCCCATTCTGATATTTTCTTGAATTTATTAAAAAGAACTAGATGTTTATTTTCTTTAATTTTCTTTGCAGCAAAACCAAGTTAAATGATAAGCATCAATTTGCTTACATTGACAATGTTATCCGATTAATGGGTTTTTCTCTTCATGATAATTTTTTTTTCAGATTTAATATTTATTCAGTAAACCATGGATATTAGGTCAGGTCTAGTAAATTTTTCAGGTACTGCTCCGACGGGTCTAGATAATTTTAAAGTTAATGTTGAGCCCTGCTGTACTCATACTTCCTGTACTAGTGTAAGCTATAAAGGGTATTCAGCCATGTGAAATGAAGTCACATTAAATTCTGATAAAATGGAATCATTGGATATATTTGTTTCATTAGTTTAACATGTTAAAATGTAGTTTAAACCATTAACTCAATACAGCTGTATATTGTTATATGTAATTTCTGATGTTGAAGAATTTGTCATGGTTTTTTTTAATTTGGTCAAAATAAGTTAAGATTTGATAAAATGTTTGGGATCTAGTTTTATTATTTTTTCAGGAGTAGAAGATGTTGACATTTTTCATGACCATGATTTAACCGCAATACAACATAAGAATCCACTGGTGCAGAAAGGAGGGACATGGAAACCAGAGGGCTGCACATCATACCAGAAAGTTGCTATCATTGTACCATACAGAAACCGATATTTTCATTTAAAGTTATTGCTCTCTAGGCTTCATCCCATGTTGAGGAGGCAGAATATTCATTATAAAATATTTGTTATAGAACAGGTGTGTACGATTTTCCTTTTTACTCTGTGTTATGGTTAATTTTCAAGGATTTCCCTCAAGCATTTTCTGACATTGTCCAGTATTTACTTTGCTTAAGTTTAACCCATACTCTTTAAATTGAAAAGAGTATGAATAAATTGATATTTTGGCAGAAAAAAAAATGACTTTTGAGTTGAATTCAAATTTAAAATATGCTAATTAATTCCTTTATTATTGATTTTGCATGTTTAATGATATTTCTTACATTGGTTGAAGGCTACCAATGACAGCTTTAACAGAGGGAAGTTGATGAATGTAGGATTTAAAGAGGCACTTAAGGAGGAGCAGTATGATTGCTTTGTCTTCCATGATGTAGACATGATTCCTGAAAATAATAAAAATCTCTATATTTGTGATGATCATGCCAGACATTTATCATCTGCCATTGATGAAATGCGATACCAGTATGTATTTTGTTAATTTACACTTTTCCCTTTCTTTAACCATTGAAATACCAACATAGCTTTAATATTTGATAAATCTAATTAAAATAATTGAGAATTCCTGTACATGTAATTAGTTTGTAGTAATATCTAGGCAGCAGAGTGATTCATGAAAGTTGAGAAATTGGAATTTTTAAAATTTATAAAAGTCTGAGACATAATGATTCCTGTGCATGCTGAAAATTTCCTTGTAAGCAGGTTGAAACAAAATTGATACTTTTCAGTGTGATGTACTATAATTATGCTGGAGGTGTAATTGCCATGAAGAAGGATGTTTTTAAAGTCATCAATGGCTACGCCAATTCTTACTGGGGATGGGGCAATGAAGATGATGATCTCTCAGCAAGGTAACCAGATCAGAAAGTTAACTGACATTATACCGGTACTTATCAGTTACTCATAATCAGTAAAGAATAAGTACTTCAACAAAATTAGGGGAGGATAAAAATTTGATATAAGCAGGCCAACCTAGATTTATTGATGTAGTGCTGAAATCTTGGAACATCAGCTATTATTCATTTATTTCCATTTAATATCCAATGGAAAACAATGAAATTTTCCAAATGCAGTTACAAAATCTACTGGTAATATTAAATCTAATTAAAAAATACTGTCTTTTTTTGTAGTTCCATCTTTGTTTAAAATTAAAATAGTATTAAAGATTGCTTCATACATGTACATGTATTAAGTTAAGGAAAGTTTAAAAATAATTTTTCTTCAGAATACAAGAAGCAGGATATTTATTAACCAGACCTCCAGAACATATAGGAAGATATAAGATGGTGCGACACAAAAAGGAGTCCAGATCAGAAAATGGGTACATAATAAAAACATAAAGCAATGCATAAGATTGATAATTTCAAATAAATATCACAATAAAAATCAATAATTTTTTTCTATTATAAAAATTTTTATTATAATGTTTTTGCAGCTCACTTCTCTGTTGTCCGTATATATCAGAAAATATTAGCAATTTTAGAATTGATAAAAATTTTTCTTATAAACACATAATTTGAGATAACACTGATTTGTAGATACGAGCGTTTTCTGGGTTGGAGAGGTAGATGGTTACAAGACGGACTCCACAGCCCTAAGACGATGACCTACAAAGTCCTCAGTAAATCCCAGGAACCTCTGTATACCAACGTCACAGTCAACCTGCTGTACGATAAAAACAAAGAGATCAACGTCGCCGAGGACACAACAAAGGAATCACTGTGGTGGTATGGTCTTATAGACAGTGTCTATATGCATTTGTTCTTGTTTTTGTTATTCTGCTTCACCAATTCTCCAATTTTTGAGTGCCAAAAAAAAACCCTTTATTTTTTCTTCTCTTATTTTCAGGTTTTTAAAGTTTTATTTTCCATGAATATTAAAGAAGTTTATAGTGAAATCCTCAGCAGAACAAGAAAGGAGACTCGGTGTACTTAACACAAGAAAGAATGACCAACTGATTGGAACTGGAAACAGTATGGAAAGTTTTAAATTGAAGGATCTTCATATGTATCTGCTGTAATACGGTTGTTCATTGTGGTAGATGGAGATGAAAAGTAGCTGCACATAAAACTTATATTGTCGATACAATGCATTAATCATTATTTAGAGCTCAAAACACAAATTCATTAGCCAAACTGTTAGATACATTATACTAAAATATAAAGAATGAACTTTCCTCTTTCATCAGATTTTCATTAAATCACCACATTTCTCTCATTTATGGAAGAATGACTTATAAGAGTAAAAAAAACTTATTATAAATCTAATTATAGCACAATTTCCTTTAACATTTTATCTAATATTTAAGTATCATTTATGTAAAATCTGTACAATTTTCTTTAAATATTTTAATTATTTTCCTGTGAAACTGCATACACATACTAAAGAGGACAAAAGGACCATTTTTCATATTTTAACAAAAAATTTTCCATATGAGTGAATCATTGAGAATTGTTTTCATTTAAGTATCTGAAAGCTACTTTTATTTTTAGCTCACCTGAGTGAGCTTTTCTGATCACATTTTGTCCGGCATCCGTTTGTCTGTCTGTCCGTCTGTCTGTAAACTTTTCACATTTTCGACTTCTTCTCAAGAACCGCTGGGCCAATTTCAATCAAACTTGGCACAAAGTATCCTTGGGTGAAGGGGATTCAAGTTTGTTCAAATGAAGGGCCACGCCCTTTTCCAAGGGGAGATAATTATGAATTAGAGAAAAATTAATAGCATTTTTAAAAAATCTTCTTCTTAAGAACAACTGGGCCAGGAAAGATGGAACTCATGTGGAATCATCCTCAGGTAATGTAGATTCAAGTTTGTTCATGACCCCCGGGGCTAGGGTGGGGCCAAAATGGCCGACCCAAGTTTTACATAGGAATATATAGGAAAAATCTTTAAAAATCTTCTTCTCAAGAACCACTGGGCCAGGAAAGATGAAACTCATGTGGAATCATCCTCAGGTAGTGTAGATTCAAGTTTGTTCAAATCATGACCCCTTGAGCTAGGGTGGGGCCAAAATGGCTGACCCAAATTTTACATAGGGATATATATGGAAATCTTTTAAAATCTTCTTTTCAAGTACTTCAAAGCTATGACTAGTGATATTTATATGGAATCATCCTCAGGTAGTGTAGATTCTAGTTTGTTCAAATGATGAATGCCGGGGGGGGGGGGGGTTTAAATTCAAGCCCAATGTGCTCAGGTGAGCGCTGTGGCCCCTGGGCCTCTTGTTTATATTTATTTAGGAAATGCTTTATCATGACATTTAAAATGAAATGTGACATTTCTGTTTATACAGGTTTTATCTGTTTTTTGTATGCATGGTACTGTTACGCGAGAAAGTTGCTATTTTTTTTAAAATAATTTTTTTATTATGATGAATGAATGTGTTTTTATGAAATAAACTTTTGTAAAGTGATCAATCAATATACAATAAGTAATTGAATATAAAACAAGATGTGCTTGTGAAACACTGATGCCCCCTTTCACAGCCTCACGGAAGGAATGAAGTTTTTTAAATGCAAGTCAAACCTTAAGGTCAAGGTCAAGAGGTCAGATTTGGTGGTATCCTGAGACAGGTCTTATCACAAGTAATATACCAATTAAATATGAAAGTGCTAGCTTCTGTAGTTCTAACTGTTCAAATATTATGGACAAAGTTAAAGTTTTCAAAAGGTGGGTCAGGCTCTAAGGTCAAGGTAAAATTTTTTATGACCATTGAAGGGTCTCAATGAGCATACATATGAAGTATGAAAGCCCTAACACCAACTGTCCAACAGTTATGGCCAAGGTTAAAGTTTGAAATATTTTATTTAAATTGGGCCAAGGTCATGAGGTCAAATTTGGTGTTACCCCAAGAAAGGTTTTGTCACAAGGTACATGTATACATCTGTGAAATATGAAAGTCATAGCCCTGCCAACTCAAAAGTCATGGACAAGGTTAAAGTTTTCTAGGACAGACGGACTGACAGTGTAAAGATATATACCCTGAATTTTCGATTATGGGGGCATGATATTTGTTTCAAAAATATATTATTTAATACTACTAGTCCAAGATATCTGACGTTTTCCGGGCATTGTTCATGATTTTCATATTTTACGTGCCAGGAAAACGTCAAAACCGGCGCTATTACTGAAACTGGAATTTGCCCGCCTCCATTTGCAGAGGGCATTTTAGAGTTATTTTTCGATACTTGCGAACTAAATTAAAAGCTGAATTTACAACTTATCAATGATACAATGCCTTTAGTAATCACCTACATCGTTTTTATTGTTACATGTAGTTTATAAATTCATACCGTCTCGTTTTTTTTGTTTTTTTTTGTCATTTTGTGCATTTTAAAATCTTACAAGATCTGTATCGAAATGTGTACTATAAAAAATGAAACTATTTCACGAGCAATCAAAATTGCTTTTTTATAATGATGATAACTGGGGAATATATTTTGACTCTAGGTTCAAACACATTTTAAAAACCATAGATGAATTTTTCAGAAGAAAAAGTTTTGTTGGTAATAATTTTATGTTTGCAATGTTAAAAACGTCACCCTTAACATAAGAATACTAAATTTAAACAAATTGAATATTAATCCTTGGATGTTTTTATCCTTACTCGACATATTTGACGCCTTAATCGCCCATCACCTGTTTCAGTTTACTTGTATCACTGCAACTGTCCTTTAAGGTTATCCAATCTTCAGTCAGGAAGGATAACTTTTAAAATTATTTTATTGAAAAATCTCAACATGAAGCTTGAAATTGAAAGTTTTCATGCAACAATTTTAAGTTTACTTTAAAAGAATCTTTTTCTTTGAAGTCTTATAAAGGGTCATGTAAAAAAAATTGATTAACATGTACACACTATAAAATTTAAAAAAAAAGTTTTAGAGAAATAGAATTTTATTGATTGTAGCTTTAGACATCAAGGTCTTTTTGTCCGATATGAAATGAAAAGTTACCTGTGATGTTTTGTAATGGTAGCACAAGATTTTCATGTGTTTTTATGCATTTTTGAATCGCAAAATATAAAACACGCAGAATATTATGTCGGCAATTATATGACATAAAAAATTACCATTTTTTCTTAAATCGTAAAAAATAATCACGCCAAATAAAAACCGTATAAATCAAAAAATTTTTTTTGGGCAAAATTTCCAATACGCATGGCTGTTGTTTCTATTCGCTTTTCTAAACACTGGCTCCTTTGATATGTAATTGCCAAACTGAGCAAATAAACTGCATTTCTTCTTCGTGTTTAATTACTAAGTAAAACAATAAATTACAGTTTTTAAGAATTTAATATAAAGTTATTGCACATAATTTACCAAAACAGACATGAAACATTATATATTATAAATACAAAAAGAGTTTATTTTGAATACACATGTAACAAGGACCACGAATATATAATACTTAAAAATACTAATACTATGGCCGTAAAAAAATTAATTAATAGTTTCTCAGGAAAAAAATTTGTTTGTTTTTTTAAGCAGGTGTTAGACCTATACCTTTTTTCATGTCAGTCGTTTAACAAAATGATGATATCAACTGATTCTTATTTTTTTGTTCTCTTATTAATTATAATATGCACCCAACTTTAAATAATGTTATTCCAAACAAAGTTAATTCATTAAATACTGTATTAACAAGAAATGTACTGTTTATCTAAAAAAAAAAAACAAACCTTACCTGTTTGTATTTATGAAAAGGGTAATAATTCAATTTTCTTTTTCAACTTGAAAAAAACACAGAAAATTAATTGAGTTATTTCCTTTTTCAATATGTAAATAAAATTGATCAGTGCGATAGTGTTTGACCTGATGCAGCGGTGCCTTAGAAACTAATCATTAATTTTTTTTTTGGCCTATACTTAATAATATTGCATTTAAAAGCTACAATAAAATCTGAAAAAAAGGTGAATTTCCAGTGGTCTAAAAATAATATCACATTGAATATCATGGTAACTCAGTCATGGTAAGTACACTGACACAGAAAATATAGAATAAAGCTCTAAAAAACATAGACATTAAATTTTTTAAAAAAAGTCTAAGTAGATTGCCCATTTTCAGATCTGAATGATATTCCTAAGATTTTAAGGAGGGATTCTTCTATGTTTATTTTATTTGGAATAACTGAAACTTTCACATATTTAAAAAAAAAAACATCACTAAGTAATGGTATATCAAATAAATGTAGATTGTATTTGATCGTTTTATTTTCAGAACAATGCCAGGTCAAGTTCATTATCTTATACATTTAAAAGAAATACTGTAACCAATCAGTTGTTGCCTACTTCAATTTCAAAAGATTGTTTTTCTTTTAGCATCAAAAACTATATCACACCTTGAGTCTATCAGATGGTTACAGATAAGATCAAGATACAGTTTCAACACAAATCTTGTCCTGTATTTTTCTGAAATTTTGAAATGATTTAAGAAACTAAAGTTCATTCTTTCTGAATTATTCAAATTACATGCAGTAAAAACCTACAAATCGTTTTTCCCATTTGACAACCTTAATGCTAATTGTGAATTTATATATTTTCTTTTAAAGTTGCAGAAGACATCAATTTTTAATTGAATTTCCATTCAGAAAACATACAGTTCCTGTTTTTGAGATATGTGATTTTTCAAAGAATTTTAAATATTATATCCAAAAGTTGAAGTGGGCAACTATTTTTTATAGGAAAATAAGCACAGAAATGATTCATTTTGAGGTTATTCTGCATAAAACTTTGATATGCGCCAACATTTCCAGAATGGTCTTCCATTGTGCTATATTATTGAATGATTTATCATATTCATATACTCAACCCATGTTAAAAGATGAAATTTTTAGGGCACAATAAAGCTCAAGCCGTACCTTCCTCTTAAAAAAAAAAATGACTATTTGCTTATCCGAATTTCCACTACTACTTTTTTTAATAAAGGAAATATTGGTTATTCTTATACGCTTTGGTTATTTTGATTTTTTAGTCTTATTTTTACATATGGTGAATTATTCATATAATTAAAGATACAAAATGTTAAAAATTCAAAATAAATTTTGACCAATTTGTAAGGGGAAAAATCACTAAGTCTTATTACTGAAAATTTTTTGGTCAAATTTCTTCTTATAGAATGGAAGCATTTAAAAGCTAAAATATTTCAATTTACAAAAGAAGAAAGAGCAAACTTTTACAAAGCTGTCATTTCTTCCCGCTACATTGATCAGAAGATAGAATGAAATATGTTTAACTACTTTTACGACTATATGTATATATGTGATGTGCTAATGTCTTCTTCCCTGCAGACTGAAGTAAGGAAATACATATAAAAAATAAATCAATCAATCAAAAAGATAATCGCGGATTCTTAACATAAAATCTTCTAAATTTTTTTTGTGAAAATATGATATTGATAAAATGTTACCTGTACCCGTTTCCATTTCAAGTAAAAAAAAAATAGGTTAAATTTTTCAATGTAATATTTCAATGTAGTTTACTTAAATCAATAAAGATACAATATTCACATATTACATGGCTTCAAGGGCAGCATACCAGAATATTTTTACCCCAAGGTGACAGGAAAGCCCTGGAGTGTTATTTCACACAATTTGTGCACATGCAAGTACGTTAAGTATAATTCCGAAATCCCGTTCTGTTTCATGACAGAATGTTTTCAGTATGCTGACACTTGTGTTGATATCCTTTGTTGTATTTAAGGAATTTTTCTCCTCAAATAAGTTATTTCATTCCTCTGAAATCAAATGAACAAATCGCAGACGTTGTCCGGGTCGACATTTTAATTTTTGCGGAACTGTTAATAACGTATCCGCCGTAATTCAACAGTTTTTCAGGGTATATGGATAAAAATATTATATTTGTGATATAATAGGAAAACTTCCTAAAAAATGATATATAATTGAATGTTAAAATAAGAATCACTTTTGATATGGTATGGACTGTTGAGCTAGTTTGTGAGATCTGTCTGAGATCAATATCGATAGCAGCCAATAACAACTATGCCACATCTGAAATCTGCTCCTTGGGGTATTATTGGTCTATATAGATACCAAAAACAAAATGTTGGCATCAACTTAAAAGATATAATACTTTTAGTCCATTTTATTGACCGGTTTTCCACAAGAGCATTTCACAAAGCATCTGTCACTTGTTATCTCTACTTTTTTCTTGCATTGATTACATTCGTACTTCTTCAGCCTTGCAACATTGTACGCTTCATATCCGTCTGCAAATGTGAAAGCTAACACAAATTCAACTCGTTCACCAGCATATCGATTGCCAACCAACTGCTCCCCCGTTCTTACGGGAATAAAGAAAACTTTGATTGGAAAGACATTATCCCCTATATCCATCTGGATGTATCCCGTTTGTCTTTTAGTATTAGGTCTGCAAATGGTGCCTTTGAAAATCGCTAAATGAGTAGTTGAAGATTCTCCTGCTAGAACAAGTCCATTTTCTGACTTGTGTACCTTACGTGCAGGAATAATAGCTTTCACCCCTGGACCTTTTCCAAACCACTCCTTGGGTTTCCTTGGTTTTGACAAAGATTTGCTAAGTTTTTTCAATTTTTCTTGCAATTGAGAAGCTTCTCTTAAAAGTTCTGCATTTGGAGCTACACCATCAATACCTCCAATACCAAGTACAGTGAGATATATAAAGAGGTAGAAAGTCGAATTGGGACTTGTCATTAAAGCATACCATCTGCGCATGCGCAGTATTACATCCTCAACAGAATAAATGTTAGAGAAGGCGTTCGTACGTATTGCATTCAACCAATCTTTATGTTCTAGATCTATTGCACCCTTTGACAATGTTATGCCTCCTCGATCCAAATCCTTAAAATTCATTTCGCAAAGTCGAACTATTTCACAAATGTCTTGTTTTGATGATATTGATTCAAGAGTTCCAAGATTTTCTTCCCTCCCATATTTTAATTTGATAAGAGCTGCCTTTACTCGTCTTGTATGGATATTCTCAACGACTTCAAGTTTCTGCAAGTCTTTGGCCTTGTCTTTAAATAGAGCGTTATACCAATGAATATTCTGAAAGAAGTCACTTGGAAGGTCATCAAGATCTACAGAGCCAAGGCATTGCATAAACAGCTCTAAAATGGCTGTTATACTCTCCGTCACAAAAGCCGACACTTCGGAATCGGGAGTTGCTTTCAGGTAATCTGAAATGTCTTTATATGGCATATACCTGTGCACTATTTCACATATTTTTAGACGTGTTGATATTTCTCCAACATATCCATGGGCTTCTTCGCATCCGAGTATCGTGAGATCCCGTGTCTCTTTGAAAAAATAGCACGCCTGTTTTGCATAATGCAGCAGAAGAGTCTTTCGTTCCTTAAAAATTCGTTCATTCATCGTCGTACGCTTTTGACCATGAAGTCTGCCAGTATATTTAGAGATTCGCTGCAAATAGAACATTCCATACATGTGATAGACATGCCTTAATGTGTGTTTTGTTCCCTCATCTAACTCAGAACCATTCTTTCCTTTGGTGGATTTTTTCAATAAGCTGACCGCGTTTTCAAAACAGTTTTCTGCATCTTCTTCGTCCTCCGGGCGACAGATCGATATGATTCTTCCTAAATGTGCATGGAAATTTGCGTCATCTGGAAATATCTCTGTTAATCTCTTAATAATATTTACTCTTTCCGAGTATGGTGGTTTACAGTCAATATCGTTTAAAAGTTTAGAGAGTTTCCGCCTTGTGCTAAATTCATTATCTGCAACATCTAAATTGTCTCTGAAAATAATAGTTTTGGCAAGTATGTCTGCAATGATGCTGGAATTAGCATGACTTTTGGACTTTCTTTTCTTAATTTCACTTAAAAACATCACCACAAAGTCATACAAATGAGCTTTTGCACATTGAGAAAGTTCTGATGACATTGAAGGATCTTTTGCACTTTTCCCATAAGTTAATAACTGTTCGAGAATTTCCTTGGCGATCAGGTAGTGTGAAATTCTGATGCTATTTTCCCTACTATCATTTTGACTGGGTACGATGAAGTGACGTACTAAATATGGAAAATCCTCAAAGGAAACATCGTAATTCTCTTGCCATCCGAGTAATGAGGCAAAAAATTGGCACGGAATCGATGTTTGACCATAATAATATACAAGCGACAGAATTCCCAAGATTTTTTGTGATGGATTAAATTCTTTTGAAGTATTCTCTTCAAGCAGGAGATACCCTTTCACAAATGACCGTATACCCTTAAACTTTTCATGATAAGCTGTCATTCCAAACTCGTACATAAGATGACTTTTTGACCCACTTTTAATATCTCTTACAAGTTCATCAATTTGATCTTTCTTTTGGGGGGTATCACAACGGCTTGAAAACTTTGTTCCCAACTTACTGGCTTCAGCAAAAGATACATTACCCGGTAGCAAGTATTCATTTTCCTTCAGAATCAAATTATCAACCTCTCTTGCTCTTCTCCTTACGTGTACCAGTATAATAATTAAACGATCTGCGAGTTTGTATAAGTGACTCATCCGCTGTTGGTCCTCACCATCGACTAGTAGAATTATAGGTAAATTCGTCTTCTCAAAAAGAGTTTCGATTTTCTGGAGAAGAGATTGGACTGTACCTCTTGTGTTCATCTTTACCTGGACACACGGAGTGAAAGCTTTCAACTCCCATAGAATTCTTTGTCCAAGCGTTGTTCCTCCCGATCCTGGCGCATGGAAAATGGTTATTTTACCAGACTTAAAAGGATCGATAAAGGACGACTTTATATTTGTTGCTATTATTCTCGTCAAATCTCTCTCTGCGTCGAAATGACCTGCTCCAGCTTCATAAAATACAAACCAAGGTATATTTCCACCTTGAAAAAATATGTCTCCCTCCTTTTCAAGTTCTTCCGGAGTGTAGTCTCCTTCGTTTCCTTTCCGATAAGGATTTTTCAAATATAAAACTTCCAAATCTTCTCTCAATTCCGCGGCGGACGGTTCATCAATTGACGGAAGATTCGAGTTATCCGAGGTTGGAAGCATGTAAGTAAAATCTCGTACAGAAAAACGTTCCCCAAGTACCTCGGTTATGCATTTGCACAAATCTTGCACATTGCTACTCATTATGAAATTAGGTTTCATAATATTCGCAAATGATTCTTCTTGTGGTGTTTTGCATCGCAATGGGTCGCAAATAATAATCTGAGGATCTATTATTTCTTCTACTTTCATCAATGCTCTGTGCATGAATCGGACGTCCGCTCCATCCTCAGGCCATAGAAATACAAGTTTAAGGCTTGTATACCCATCACAGAAATTTGCAATTTCTACCAAATGTCTTTCAAAGGATTCGCGAATGAATTGAATCCATTTCTTTTCTTCGACCGGTGTTTTGCTATCTGCTTCTTGTGACGATCCTTTAATCATGCACCACTGTGTACCATGATGGGAAAGAAGAGGAGGATCCTTCCATGTGCATATGTACAGTGACCTTCGACCTTTTATTTTGTCTTCCAGCATTGATAACAAACCATCTGTTCTGCTTCTTTCATCGAAGTCAAAAACGCTTATCCATGGAACCATTGCTAATGCTTCAAGGTATCTTACTCTTGTTTGCCTAGCAGTGAATAAAATGAAATTCCCTCTTTTAAAATTGTGAACATACTTCAAAAAATCTTCTACTTTGGTCGAACATTCGAGTGACTTCCGCTTCTCAAAAGAGGAAGATTCTGAGGTATACAGACAATTCCGTTTTCCACTAGTCACCGAGGCATACGTCTCTTTTGTAGAAGATGTACCTAATGTTGTTTGAAAAGTTTTAACCTTGTTCCTTTCTTTCTCCATTTTTTGTGTTCGAGGATGACGTTTGTGATTAACTACCGTCCAGTCTTGATCAGTTTCATAACTTTCAACAGACAGAGAATCATAATCGGTTCTTTCAGATGAACAAGTACTACTTATGGAACCTGGACTTCTGAAGCCTCTGATTATAGGCAACAATGCTGGGTCAAAAATGCCTTCACATCTGTCAGATGACGGTACACATGAAACATAACATGCCCCAATTCTTTTGTCCGGTTTTACATCAAATTTTTCAGAATTATTTTGCAAAAATTTCTTCATTTTCATGCCTGATATTTCATAAAACGTTTTCTTTTCATTTTTTCGTGTACCATAGAGTTTAGTAAATGCCGATTCAAGTTTTTGAAGACACATCTCCTTTGGTTCCTCGCTGCCATTAGGATTTAAAATGCTTGTTAACATACCTGCTAAAATTGTATTTCTTTTTTGTAGATCTCCTGTAACATGAAAAAAAAAATTGATGAACGCATTAGTCTTATTTTAACTTATGTTGAGAGGAATGGATAAGAATTCATGCAAAGAAAGCAAGTGTAATATATTGTTAATGTATAATTTCTCTGATTTACCTTTATTTCTCTCCAACTCCTGTTTAGCCTGCGAAATTGTGACTACACAGTTATCACCGATAGCTATCCCTGAGCAGTTCTGAAGAACAATCGTTGTAGACTTGGAACTGTCTATAAACAAGATCAATAAGCTGTAAATAAGTACACAGTACATATATATTTTTCAAGGATAAAATGATTTCTGTATGTACTAACAAACCTTCTACATCGTCTTCATCTGTATCCGAAAATGAAATTTGATTTAAGTCCTGAATCAAACTCTCCCAAACCTCTGGCTGTTTGGAGGACTGGTAATCTTAAAAATTGATGACACAAGAATATATTTACATCCACTGAATATTTTCTCCTTTATTTCTTAAGGAAACCCATTGCATTAATCAGTACATGAACTCAATAGGCATGTCATCTGTACAGATTTCTTGATCAGTGGCTGTTCCATCAATAAAACGTACAAGGACGTTCGCATCATTAATACTATAATTAATCTTTTTAATCCTATTTTAAATAATTATTTAAACAGATCTCAGCTATTGCAGAAAAAATTACATGTATTTTTTTCTGCAACAGCTGCTTCATTCATTCCCGTACTAACAACCCAAGAAAACATTTTATTGTTTAAATGAACAGTCAAAGAAGATTGGCGAACAAGGCGGGCAGAATGCCTATAGTGTCAGAAATTAAGAAATCATATTAAATATGTGAATTGATTATTTAAATTAACTTATAATTATTGAAATTTTTGAAATTATGAGAAAAAAAAACTTTTTTAAGAGTGAAAAAAATCTCGTAAAAAATGTCTTTCATAAAATTATTAGATGGTATTCGTGGGATTCGAACCCTAGCAATAAAAATCTGACGTATCAATATCATACTGCTTTGAGGCTAATGCGTTAACCGCTATACTACACCGCTCATGTTGATTGTTCACACATACACGCCGCTTCTACTACGATCAAAGTGTGGTCAAAAGCGTGGCCGATCGTGACAAATCGCAGGAGGAACGTCGTGGGGTCGTCAGAAGCGTAGTGTGATCGCAGAGGAGTCTTCATGATCGGAGAGCTCTACGCTCTCACCACGCTTATTTTGAACATGTTCAAAACAAGCGTAGCGGGATCGTGGCCAACAAGAATCGGGGTGAAGTCGTAAAAAGGGCGTAGTAGAAGCGCCGTAATCGTACAAGCAGCGTGGAAGCATCGTAGAGAGATCTTCATGATCGTAGTGAAAGCGCCGTGAGAGCGTAGGAACTTACCAAGCACGCTCATACAACGCTCCCTCTACGTTCGTACTACGTTCTCACTACGATCTCTCTACGTGCCTGAAGATCCTACGAAGACCTACAATGACCCTACACCGATCATATCACGACCTATCAGACAAGAGTTTGTTCTTATACCGCTGATATTTGACCAATCATCATCTGTTAACTACATGTAAAGTGTGACTCTTTACTTGATGATCATTTACAATTGAGCATTTTCACATCTTGTTACAGTTATAATAATTGAAAATGCCCTAAACCATGTGGTAAAGGCCGGAGAAAAAAAACTGCGGTCGCAAAATATGAATCATCGCTAAAATTGTACTACAAAAATCTGCAGTTTCAAGATATATTTACATCATCACCAAAATCGTACTAGAAGCGTAATGCAATCGTAATATGATCGGCACCACCGTAGCGACATCGCGGTACAGTCATCTAGGTCTGTGTAGCGTCGTAGTATGGTCTTCAATGTCGTAATAGCAACGTAGCGTAAACGCACTAAACACGGCTGCTTGTCGGCAACGGTCTGCGTAACATCGTAGTAGAAGCTTGTTAGCAGCGCGTTTGACGTAGGGACATCGTAGTAAGGTCGTAACGAAGACCATAATTTGCCAAATTGGTCTATTTTGACGCCGATCGGCTGCGATCTGCCCCGATCCAAAAAATTTTCAGATCGTAGCTTGATCGGGATGATCGCCGTAGAGTCGCAGCTCTGTGTGAACGGGGGGTTAAGGAATTTAAATCATGTTTGTGATATGACCCGCGACTTAATGGACTTGGAAGTATTTCTCGAAAAGATGCTAATGTTGTGCCATAAAAGTGTACTTTTAAGGTAAAGTGGGTCTTCTCTCCATGTTTTTGAAAGCCAAAAAATGTGTATTTTATTGCACGCTTTTAGGATCATCTTTCAAAAAATTGGAGATAAGACCCACCCACATTGAAAAATTTTGTTTAAGTATGAGAAAATGATCGTTTTTGTTCTTTTTAGTGTGTGTAAGCTTTTTCATAGGCAAATATTTTCAGTCCTTGTAAGATTTTTGTAAATTGTAGAGATTTTACATAAAGTATACTTTAATATTAGATGAGATATGACATAAAATTTGGATATAATTGAGATTAATTTTTTTCCCCTTCTTATCAGTCGCGCTATAGGCATTCTGCTCGCCTTATACGCCCATCTTCTTTAAAGTTAACCTGCATATGAGGTATATGTTCCTCAATTTATTTGATACGCAAGAGCATGCTCTTCATACGAACGGTTTCTAAAACGAAACAAGAATATGAAGTCTCGTTTTTTACGTCAATACAATGACCTAAAGTTCCGACGAGTTGTTCCATTTTCCCCATTATGACAAGAAGCACACCTCAGTTGTGACCAGTCAACAAGGGATGCTTACTCCTCCAAGGCACTTAGTCCTACTGCTTATGTTTTCAGGGGTCAATAAGTAGTATTTCAATGGACGTTTGAACTTAATTACCGTTGGTTATCATCATTTTTCCCCCAAAATGTTCTGCACAGTGATTTACCATTCCAACATCTTCATATTTTTAACTTATACTGGTTGCTTCCAAATAACCTTGGCACTCTCATTAAGCAGAATTTTGCATTCTTTAAAAATAGAATCTATCATTTCTTCGCAAGAATTCATATATTTGAACAATAGAATGGTTTTTTTTATTTGTTTTAGTACGAGAATTGATGTCGCAGCTGTTGCAGAAATATGCCTAAACCACGTCATAGCTGTGACGTTAATTCCAGTCGACAAACAAAGGAAGACATTAATTTTTATACCGGGGGGGGGGGGGTAAGTTTACATGTATATATTCACATCTGTATAAGAAAAAAAAATCAAATCTAAATAAAATAGTTGAAATATTGTAATTAAACGTAGATATCATTGTATGCATAACTAATGGAACCCCAGACAGCATGACTACGTTGGGCCAACGTTGGCTAAAGGTTGTACGGTTGGTATTTAGTTGGCGTTGGGAAGACAATGTTGGGCCAACGTTGGACCAACGTTAACATGTGAATAACCTCTTGAGTACCCAACCATGTTGGGTTTCTTACGTTGGCCCAACGTTGGTCCAACATCAACTAATTTCGTTTCGTTATATTTTTCTAATGAAGTTGGGGTTCAATGTTGGCCCACTGTTGGCCCAACGTTTGTAATGCAACCTTAACCAAACTGTCAGCTTAATCTGGTAGCAGTATGTTGGCCCAACGTTGGCCCAATGTAAGCTTGAGTGTTTGTTTTAAGTGTTCTTTTATAGTTAGAATAAGTACATTGGGCCAACGTTGGGCCAACAGTTAGATTGCTAACTAAAGGATGATGTGCATGAGTTGGGAGCATTACGTTGGCCCAATGTTGGCCCAGTGTTTGTTATACACTAGGCTTTTATGAAAAGATCATTAATTTCTACCATAGCAATGAGACTAAACTCACTATGGTTTATTGATGACAAGACAATTATACTTTCCTGTTATTAGTATCCACTTCTCAAAAAATCTTCTCTATATAGTGTCTGTTTATAAATTTTGAAATCTTAATTAACCTTAAACTTTGAGTGTAATTGTAAGATTTGTTTCTCTCGTATACAATTAACGAAAAGTCATTATAAAAGGAGACTAAATAAAAGTTTTTCTTACATTAGTTTACCTGGTAATATATAAACGACCGAATAAAAGTTAGCATAATATGGAAACTAAAAGTTCCCAGGGACGGGATGTGAATGACGCATAAATCAAGATAACCCAGCCAGCTTTATAATTGCATTCAAACAAAAGTTAGGCGAGTCGCTAAAACTGAAAGAGTCGCAGCAGATTTAAACCACCAAAATATGTGGAGAGCTGTCAAGTTTAATTACCCACAGCTGGCTGATAAACTCAAAATGCAGAGGAAGTTACAGTAAGGTTGGGATTTTAAAAAATTGGTGCACACAACGGCTAACGGCGAAGTCCTAAAAGAAATGTAAGTAAAGTATTATTATATTTGAAAACTATATCTACTTCTTTTATAAAATGATTTAGTTTATATGAAAGACATGATATCTTACATTGTATATCATGACGAGAAATGAAATAGATAAGAAACTTTCAGTATATATGGTAAGGTGTGTTTAATGGTAAATTCTTTTGTATTTAAACAGGGTTAAATGCATCATGAGTTAATCAAAAAAATAAATATTTCATCAATTTTGAAAGATATTAATATATTCACTTTTCTTAACAGCTATATATTGTTCTTAGACGGGGAAATGTGCTGTGTCAGTGTGCATTAATTTGCCGCAGATATAGAACTTCATACTGGTTCATTGATGACAATGAAGAAGGAGGAAGAAAATGGGAAAAAAGTGAATATGTGAAAAACAATTGCAATCCGAACAAGACTAAAGAATGACGTTTCAAATGCTCTTGGATTATACTATTTGTGTCTTTAAACAATATTTTACTGAAAAGGGGGATTGATAAAAATGGAAATTCAAATATTGCCAAGTTGTGTTGTGAACTTTAAGCTCCTTTATATTCTATAGTTATGGGATTTTAAAAGTTTTTGTGAACAAAGGGATGGTACTGGAATTGATGTTAGATGATGTTTGAAAGAAGATTGTGTTTGAAATTGAAATTTCAACTCCCTCATTATATTAAACGTTTTAGATTTGACTGTGTGCCGAATCCAGTCAATCGTAGAAGCAAGTGATGCAGAGGAAGTGTGGAGTATAAATCGACATCTTGAATACATTTTAAGGCAGAAACGTGAAAGCAAGACGTATTATTATTTATTCTTAAACTCTGTAAGCTTTGGCAATGTTTTTGTTTAATTATTGTTATAATATTGAAGCAAACTTAACAGAATTTGTTAGAAACTAACAAATAAATTGTACAGTTTATCACTTTTTTCTTTTGCCTCATTGTCAACATAAGCTAGTTATTAATTTTGTCAAGATGGCTTAATTTTGAATGGAAATCATTATTTATATAGGATAGGTTGGGCCTCTGTTGGCCCTACGTTGAAAAAATAACTATCCGTAAAATGATAATGGACCATTGTTTGACCAACACAGGTACCGGACACTGGACCCCCATTGAGTCACCGATGGTATGTTGGTGAACAAACGTTGGGCCATTGTTGGGCCAACACAAAAAGTACGTTGGGCCAATGTTGGGCCATTGTTGATAAAATCACTGCTGGTAATTGACGTTGGGCCAATGTTGGGCCAACGTTGACCAAATGCTGTTATAAAATAGGCTAACGTTGTGCCAACGTTGGGCCAACATGTTGGGCCAACGTAGGGCCGATGAGCAAACTTGCATTGGGCCAACGTTAGGTAGCCAACGTTGGACCAACGCAGTCAACAACTGTGCGCCAACGTTGGCCCAACATAGTCATGCTATCTGGGACAGCATCTTCCCAAGTCAAGAGTTTCTGATCCACTCCGCTCCACATAAACCCTTGACCGAATAGGCTAAGTTTGACGGGGTTAGAAATGCGTTCTCTGATTGGCCTCATGAAAGTCTTCATGAACCAATCAAAATCATTGTTTTATTTAAACTTAAATTATACATACTACCCATAGTCCTCTGCGTCTCCGCTTTGGTTTGGTACAAACGAACTCTGGCGGAAGTTTGTTAAATTATATTGTAAACAGAAAAACAAGCCAGTTTTAGTCCCAAGGATAACGTCATTATCATTATTAATAAATAACCCAGTTAAAGGTTTGACTAAGATTTTTAGTTGAATTATATCGAATTTATTACAAACTTCAAATATTATCTCCAATTCTCTGTTGAATTCGTTTACCCCGATTAGCCAATAGCAGAGGTCACTAGAGTTCAAAATGTGTATATCTCACTAGATGGCGTGACAGTAAACCCCGTCAAACTTAGCCTATTCGGTCAAGGGTTTATGTGAGCGGAGCGGATCAGAAACTCTTGACTTGGGAAGATGATGGAACAGCCGTTGTTAAGAAATCTATGCAGGTAGCTTGTTTTAATACACAATAAAGCTAGCTACATGTAGCTATAACCCAACACAAAGGAAGACTGGGAGCTGATGGAATTTAAAAAAAAAAAAAAGATGTACCCGGTTATAAGATGCCGTTTCTAAATAAATTGTCAAATGTGTTTTAACGCTCTCGACATTTCTTATGAGTTTAAATAAGGATTTATTTTAATTAGTAGCTCTTTTATTAAACGAGTACATTATATGAGTATACTTACAAACTAATCCAAAGCAGATACACGAGTATATGTGCTTTTTTAAAATTGTTTTTAAATATGTGCTAATGATATACTCATATTGCTTGCTCAGAAAAAAATATTTACATGTACAATATTGTGGTACAATAAAAATGTTTTGTATGTGAAAATAAGAATAAAACAAACACATGTTTACTTCGTGCACATCCATTGATTTGCATTCGTAGCTTTAGCATAGACTTGGCATTGTCGATGCCAGTTTATGAAGCTCTTCAATGCGATAGTACATTTTGTAGATCTATACATGTATAGCAGCTTTTAAGGTAGAGCAGTAAGAAATTTGAAGTTGATTACTTTAAATAAATGTGGAAACAAAAACAAAATGGAAAGGTGGATGGCGTTATAACTGACATAAGGACATTGGAGGAAAACTAGAGGTTCATGGGCAAAAACGCCTAGTTGAGTCGTCTTAATTAGACAGCAGTACTTCAGGGGATCATAAAAGATTTTGTCCCGATATTACAACGCACTTTGAAAAATTAGGCACTTTGAAAAAAAATTTCAAAGTGCGTTAAATTGGGACCAAGTCAACGCTCTTTGATAAAAAATAAGATTTCTTTTCAAAGTGCGTTAATATGGACCATATTAACGCACTTTGAAAAACTGTGTATGGATTGGTCAATATTCCTGCAAATCTTAGGTATGATAAATAATTGAACCTGTTTGATAACTCTTCTGTGAACAGGTCACTTAAGGATGTGAAAGTAAGCGATATTGATTTTTTCATACTTTGAAAATTCTTTTTTGTTTAAATGCTTTACTGTACTTAATTTTTTCCAGTTTGCATGCATTTTGTGTAAACTTAAATTTATTGAAAGTTTTCAACGTCATTCCAGTTATGTAAATACATGTATTTGGGTGTGGCATAGGCATTAGTACCAGGAAGGGGGGTGGGTTACATGTAGGCACATAAATATTTTGCAAAGATATACATAATATATGTATGCATTATAAATTGATGCTTACCTGTGGGGTCAACTTTCAATTTGCTACCGACGGCTATGTACAATGTTTAAGAAAAAAGAGTTGGGATGAGAGACCTTCTACTCATCTTCTCCTTGTTCTCAATGAGGTTAAATGAGTACATGAAAATTTTAAAAAAGTTTTTCAAAAGATATAATTATTACAATTTGATTCCCTCTATTACTAAAATCTAAGTCTAGAATTTTTTGTTTCATTCATATTTTTTTTTTTCAAAATGCGTTAAATGCCTCCATGGTAAAACATGTTTATGTACACTCTTAACGCACTTTGAAAAAATTTTTCAAAGTGCGTTGAGTGTGTCCAAAATTTAACGAACTTTGAAAAAAATTTTCAAAGTGCGTTGATTTTGTCCCAGTTTTAACGCACTTTGAAATTTTTTTTCAAAGTGCGTAATTTTTTCAAAGTGCGTTGCCACACCCCCTCTTTAACCCATGAAAAATATTCCTCATATTGTAGCCCCCACCTTGCCCTTGGATGGCATGGCTTAAACAGAGTAATATTTATAATCCGTTTGTTTCTCTTGCAAAATACTCGGGTAATATTGAATCCTCAATTTAGTTTTTGTGTTTTGGATTTTCCTAGTTTTGCCAGGGTGATTTAAATAATTTAAAAGTTCTAATAGCTAGAAGCTGTGCTTAATAATATAATTGTAAATTGCACTTGTACGAAAAATGGTTATATCTCAAATAATTTGCTGAGTCCAACTACTAAGAAATATCCTAAAGTACTTATGAATTCTAGCCCCGGAACTCTACTTTTTACCATACCGAACGCATACATTTAGTGTAGTAAAGAATATACTAAGCAAATGTAAAAAACGAATTGTACTCATAGCAAAAGAAGTTGCGTCTATAGTCCTATGGACGCCATTGAAGACTGCAGGTTCATATAGTGGGAGAAAACAGAATGCAAAAACATGTTTAACATTTAGAATGACATCAATGCATTAATCGTTACATGTATTCTCTGGCATTAAAACTATTTTTGCGCTATTTAAACAATAAATAAAGAAATTAGAGAATTTGCCTGTTAATATTTAATGACAAAAACAATTTAAAACATCAAGCCGACTAAATTTATCCGTCGATGTTTAAATGCGATATAATGGTTATAAATTCCTCACCTTTCCGCGCTGAAAAGAGAAAAGGTGTTTAAGCTAGCCAGCTATCGCTTTATTTATTCCCGCTATTTTTTTATTCTTACTGTAGTATTAGGATTGAACAATTTAGTTTATTTTTTTTTTTTTACATTTGTCTACCATATATCAAGGCTTCTGCAAAACAAGATCAAACCTTCATACATGTACATGACCCATGCAACATATCGAAATTTAGAAATGTCTTCTTCCATATTCATATATAGTAGCTTAAAAAATTGAAATGTGTTAAAATACACATGTAGTGACTTTTGAAAAATATATAATTATTTTTTTTTAAATTAATGTGAAGACAGAGACCGGGGGATTGTATTCATATTGATGTCTGAAATTTGTTTATGTGTGTGTTCTTTAACAGGAGATGCCCGTTTACATTTATGGGCAAATAGTGCATACTCAATGTGTTTAAGACCAGAAATTTCCACTTGTTTCTCTGAAAATATGTTCACTATTTTAAAATTGCTAAAGTAATTTAAATTGCTCATATTTTCCAATCAAAAATAAATTTATTTTTATAATACTCAATTCATTATTAACACATACCCTGACTGAAATGGCCCAGTACAGTTTCGGCTATTTTATCAAGTCCACTAGATTGCAAACTCTTGTAGAGAAGAGGAATAAACTTCAAAGTGTGTTTGACTGCTGTTTCTCGCCATATTTGGAGCATGCGCTTGGAGCAAATCGACACATCGTTGTCATAACGCTGCTGAAGTTTTGTCAACTGGTGGTACTCAAAACCAATGTTTATTCCAAGTTTAAACCAGGAATTCTTGTCAAGGTAGGGGCAAATGATATCTTCAACATCTGGAGCAGTTGCAGACCCACCTATAACGATTTCCATCATTCATTTTCCGGTCAACAGAAAACTTTTACCATATAAGATTTTAGTTAATCATTTCTTTCAAAATAAGATTATACCGGTATATCAGCTATATTGTATTCAGTTTTATCATTATTTTTAAAATGAACAAACCCTTGGATTTACTTCCTCTCTTCTTTCTCGAACTTGCAGCACATGCCATGCTAATTTTCAATCTGCAGGACGTATCTGCAATTCATTGTATTTTTTTAAATATTATATAAGTAACCATACCTCATTTGATTTTCTAGTCGGACTGCATGTTACTAGAGTTGATTTTGCTATTATACTATATGGAAGCAGGTGAGAGCTACATAATTTGGTAGCTATTGTACAATGAACTTTCAAAAATTGTGAATTTCGAAAAAAAAATTCAAAGTAAAACTGGGACAAAATAAATGCACTTTGCCAAAAAATTCATTTCAAAGTGAGTTTATATAAAACTATTAACGCACTTTCATAGAAAGAATATTCTTTCAAGTTTTAGATATGATAAACAATAATTTGTACATAGTTGTACATAATTTTCCGGTGATGACATCACTTCAGGATCTCAGTCATAGACTTCTTCATTTTTTTTTTTAAATGACCCAAAGGGGCTCAAGAAATTCGACAGAACGGAGTTCAAGTTTGTATGCTCCATGAATTTAAAAATAATTTTCCTGCATAATATATGATGGTCAAATGTTTAGAAGTATGAAAAACTGTTTATTCTCGTATTATATGATGTCTAATTAATGATATTTCTTAAGAATTAAGAGACAGTAAATTCTTATTTATGCATAATAATATAATAATGCATACATATAATAATGCATACATAATAATAATAATATGCATTATAAAAAAAAAAAAATTGCATGTTTTGTGAAGCGCGATGCCACGTAACAAAGGAACAAAGTTAATTTTCACAGTTTTTGATAAATAAATATTTTAATGTCCAATTAAAAATTTTTCTTTTCCTATATCTGGCCTCCTTCATTAAGTTGAAGATTTTGGTCCGCTTTTCAGAAAGAAAACAAATCTACGAGGTTAAAATCAAATAATCTATTTATAGATTTAAAATTGACACAATTATCTTACAGCGGGGATTTCCAATTTTCTATGTTTTGGCGATAAAAATAGAATTACTTAATGGCCTCCTATTTTGGAATGTTAACTTCACATCAAATATTGTCTGTTAGTGCACACACTGTATAAATATTATTACCGTTCTGAGTTCTTTGTCTGAATAGTAAGTATAGTACAAGCAAATGCAAAACAAAATTAAAACAGGCAAAAGCATCAAACCGAAAATATTCATGATATACATGTACTAATAAAAAAGTATTTTATCGCATAAAATGACATGGGTAAAATACATGTATGATTAACCTACATACTCACCAAAAAGCTATCAACGTGTTCTTTCCATAACGAACAGGTCCATTTACTGGCATCCAGCGTATTCGGGATTTCCCTAAGGTATTTAAAGATTGTCTACGTGTCCACATTCCTCCTTATCCACGTGGTAAATTAAAGACCGCTACAGAATGCTACACTTCAACAAATGCATTTTTAGAAGATTAGAGAATAAGGCGTGCAGAATGCCCGCATAGCTTTATGATTTGTGAATTAACAATTTAACATTAAGTTCTCATTATTAAACTTATGAAATTATGATAAACAAAATTTATCTGATGAAAAACTTTCCCTCATGACCATGATTTTCCCGCAACTGTTTTTTCTCTCAAAGATTTGAAGCTTAAAATTTGTTAAATTAATATATACATGTACAAGTGTAAATATTTCCATTCAATATGAAATACTAATATGCAATGTATGAATCGGAGAGCATAAAATTTAACATGAAATCTATTATAAAATACTTTGATTAATAATAACAATGCCTCGATGCTAAATTAGCCTATAGTTAACAACTGTAAATTATAATTTACTATAATATATTTTGTAAGGGTCGAGCGCCTTACTAGCTTATAATTAGACCTTTTGTTGCTGTCCGAGAATTGAAGGGGAGGACTTAAAATTACCGGTATGTAGACTATGTCTGATGTCCAATCTAGGCATGTTATTTGATTTTATATCATACCTTTATTAACTTGCGTTTTGTTGAACCAAAGAACCCATCTGTTTTCTTTAGGTCGTGATACCAAACATTGATCAAAGTCATGATATTATACAGAAAAATTTGATAAAATATTAACCTCGTATCTGGTACCATGTACCTTTAAACAAACCAGTCAAAATAATACTAATCGTGGGTTAAATTAGGAGATTAGGTCATTATAAAGTCTATAAAATATGCCAAAATGCTAAATTTGAATAAGATAGCTGAAACATTTAACTTAACTTCAACTTATTTGTCAATAACTTCAACTTATTTGTCAATGCATTGTTTGTTTCGGTATAAAAATTGAGCATACAAGCTATTAAAAATTGTCTATAGTCTTCAACCAACAGATTTTAATTTTTTAAAGATTTTTTTTCTCCTTTTTTGTAGGATTACTGATCATGTAAATAATAATAAAATTATTTTTTAAAGGGAAGCTACTTGACAGTTTGTGACTCCTTTTCCCATCAAATTTCAGTTTGTCTACAGTTATCACTTCCTATTTATTTTACAGCATAATATTAGATTAGGTTTAATAACTTATTTTTTTCACTTTACTCTTTTTAATTTTAATTATATGTCTTTTTATGATACCACCTTCTCGTTTGCTCCTTATTCATAGGCTAGATTGAACTAAACTAGTATCAAGCTCTTGAGTAAAGGTCGAAGACATAAAAACCGTAAGCAGCTTGTTTATTGTAGAAAATCATTACTTAATTAAGCGAAAGTAATTGATGAAGACATCTTGTCTGTCATAAAATTTAGTTTGTTTTTAACGTTTATAGTCGTTAATAACAAGAAATTATGAAGTAAAAATGTGATATAGACTCTTAATTCTGTATCTTATTTTGGTTTCACTTAGCTTAGATATAACGAGTCAACATATGGATTAAAGTAGCCATTAGTATTGTTAATCCATATATTCAAATTATAATAAACAAAACATACAGCAATTTTAAATATTTTATTATGAGTGAATAATGTTTCACCAATGTAAGGACATCAAATTATGAATTCAGAATGAAAATGTGAAATCTTTTATTAATTTTTGAAGGAAAATCATTATGGAAATAAATCATTCTCTGAGTCGAGAGTCACATCAATAATGTATACATGAATATATATAATAAAGGTTAAAGTAAACATTTTCCAGTTCTTAGTAGAAAAAAAATCTAAGAATTATACACTTTTCTAAACTTGTGACAAGATAGTAAGTCTCCTCCAAAGAAAAGCAATTGTTTGTATCATCTGCCCTTAAGACTCGGCGTAAAACAATTATAATCAATCAATCAATCAACAACTTTTCAATACATCTTCAATTTTTTCCCAACATTTAAGTGTGCTCTTGACTTAAGATCCCGGATTTTTCAATTCTTGTCTTATCTTCATCCTTCAAAAATTTACAAAACCTTTTGATTTCTTCAACTTCAGATATATGTTGAGCAAAACATCTTCTTTCTTCTTCATCGAGCCTTTCTTTCAATTTACGTTTAAGTTTTTTGCATCTGTTGGAAGGATCACTAAGATCGACATTAAGCGATCTAGCGATGTGTTCATTCTTGTTGTCTGTACTTAGTAATGACTCTTCCAGTGCACCATACTTCCAAATAAAAATGTGCTTTTTTCTCAAATGTTCAGAAAGTTCCTGAAAACCTTCCCTAAGAAAGTCCGATTCATCTTTCCAAACATATTCATTATCCAATATTTTTAGACCTTCCGGAAAAGTTGATACAAATTTATCACGATCCAGTAAACAAGAGCAGGGAAGATTGATAAACTCGCAAAATTTGAGCACGCTTTTGACGTTTTGGCACCCACCAATTGGAATTATTTGGTAAGTAGTTATGTCTGGTTTCTCCTCTTTACCAATTTCAATTTGTTGGTTTTCACGCAGGTGTGTGAAGAGAGCTTGCACGACATCCCTATCAGACGGACCTTCCACTAACAAAACTTTCGTTGCAAAGAGAAGATTTCTCAGCGTGTCAACATCGGATACTTTCGAAAGCTCTCTCTGAAGACCTACATTTCTAATATTACATTCATAATTTGAGTCTTTCGAATCAGTTCGGAAGAAAACATGAGTGTTATTGATTGTACTAGTATCGATGAAATAGGGACTATGTGTCGAAACGATGATAGTTTTCTCCAATCCCTCTTGACACAGGACTGTTTTTAAGCGCTCAATCATCTGGGCGTGCATTCCTCTACAAGGCTCCTCCAAAATGAGCGTTTTAATGTCTCTGTGTGAAAGAAGCAAAGAAACCTGCTTGGCTTCTATTATACCCTCAGAAGTTTTTAATAATGGGAAGGGCTCAAACCGACCATGTTGAACCCAAATTCTATCTTTGTCTTCTTTATCTCCTAGTATAAAAGTGAATTTCTGCGGATAAGTTAAATAATCAAAAATAACTTTTTCTTTATCTGCACCAATTGATTCAGATGATACAAGTTCTGAAATTATTTCTGCCCGTTCACATGCCATTTTATAATTCCTAGCCTTATCTCCAATTTTGCAACTTTTTGTCCACTGTACTATTCCAATTCCTCTAAGAGGCATTGTTGCCACGTATGTGTTTTCTAAATCCTTCCAATCTAATTCACCTTCCCTCTTTTCTATGATATTCTCTTTAGATTGTATTGTTTCTAAAATATGTTGAACGTACTTGGATTCTTTTTTATGCTTTTGAAAAAGATATTTCATATCATCTCTATCTTCTGGTTCTGTTAATATTTGAAAACTTTCATGTGGTGCCGATTCGCTAGATTCAAATGTATTACAGCGAAGGATTTTTCCACGTTCGTTAGAGTATATCAATATTTTGTAAAATTTGCATTGTCCACATTTGTTTTCTTCCTTTATTACTCCAGAAATTACTTCTTCAGACTGTAAGTCGAATTTACAAAACACATATGCCTTTTTATTTTCATTGAACGATCTAGTCACGGATACATTGATTTCTTTCGTCATACATCGTCTAATTAATTCTAACACGGTGCTTTTGCCGCAAAAATTTGCACCAACGAAACAAGCAAGTTTACTCTTTTTGTCTGATCCATGAGATTGTTCTTCATCATCTAAAATTTCTTCTGAAGCTTTCTTTTTATCATCTGTTTTTTGTAGTACAACTTTCTTATTCTTTTTATCATCAGTTCTTGTTGTAGTTTCGAAATTGATGACTTGCTTCTCTTTGAAATGTACAAAATTTTCGAAAGCAATAACCTTGAGCATCTGAAAGATAAATTGTACTTGATTAAGGATGTTATTTGTTGTTCCCACATCTCCTTCTATTCAAATAATTTTTCTAATTGCTAAAAACAATATTAAATGTATTCATAATCATAAGAAGATGGTTATATATCGCTTAAAAATGCAAAGCTATACAATATAATACTATGTTTATTTTAGAAGCAGAAAGAAGGAAGGACACACTCATTCAATATTTCATGACTACAACATTTGACTTTAAATAATTGCAACCAGGGTCGATTTGATTAAAAAAAAACTTTGATGAGATTTTTTGTTGTTGCATATTTCAAACTAAAGTTATTGAAGGAACATGATAAAAACATTTCAAGTAGTGAATAAGCAAAAAAAAAAAAAAAAAAAAAAAATTCTGTAAACTTTATTAAAAAGCTCTTGCCAGCGGTGGGCGTCAAAAATTTAATCCTATTCTCGACATCGACACTCAAAGCCAATGAATAGTATGGGGGTCTTTTTTGTGCTACATGTAGTGCTTTCTAACGACACGGGACTAAACTTAATATACAATCACATTCGAGGAACCGTTCTCCACGTCCCGTAGGGGGGTTCGAACCCTTACTATAATGATCTACTCTTTAAAGCAAACGCTCTAACAACTGCCTTATTTATTCTTTTATTAAAATAAAGAAAAGAATACTTGACATGAGGCTACAACAGTATTTTCCATGGCCGGCCCTCAGGCCTGGACATATTTTCGATTACATTTATATTCAATCAAAAAATGAATTTGAAAATATGACTTAATAAAATCTTATAATTTTTTGACATTTTTGAAACATTCATGAAAAAGAAAAATGAAAAGAAAAACCGATTTGACTTGAACCCTCTAAAGAGACTTCACAGCACGCTGACATACTAGTATATGTTTACGAAGCACCTAAATAACGAAACATACATGTACATTACAATTCATCTTCTGTATAACGTAAATGGAAAAATAACTAAAACATCATTAATTAGTTGTTTATATCAATCGTGCTTCACTCATAATTTACTCGTTAAGCAACTCACTTCATATGATAAAGTTAAGTATTTAGGTATAGGACACTGTGTAATAATACGAGAAGCTTATTTTCATGTTTTACATGTATATTTTCAATTTGTACTTTTTTGTTTGCATGTAAAATATCACCTCAAGGAATTCATGCCTTGACAACAGAAGGAACTGTGCGCACAGGAGAACCCCCTTACAAGACTGCGTCCCTCCTAAGGTTGACCTACAACAGCCATCCTTACCAGCCCCGGAGCCATGTATGCAGGTTTCACAACATCCAGCAAAAGCCTCCCCCCCCCCGCAACAACCAATGAATGCAAGTCCTTCTATCAGCACCACCTGCTCAATAACAACCTCTGCAAGTCTTTCACCTTATTTTTATAACTTTATGTTCATACCTCTAATCAGAATTGTATTGTTTATAGATTAAGTACAGGTCTCTGTAAGAATCAGACAAAATGTATATAAAAGTGAATCATGAGGGTTCTCAGAATTCAATGATTTTTCACACATTGGTTTCTCTTACACTATGAACCATGTATGTAAAATGAAAATTATTTTGGGTCCTGGTTACTATGGAAACACGGCCAAAGAAATTTTCCCTAGCAACCAGTCAATTTTCCATGTGAATGGTCAAATATATCACTAAACTTAGGGGCTTGAAATTGAATGTGTATATTACCAGAGGGGTTTTTAAATAATGTTATCATAAAGATAAACATTTAAAGTGATAAAACCATGTAATACATAGAATTTTATTTTAAGATATTTCTTTTACAGGCAATGGAAGATATGCATGTTTTGCACTTTTTGCTGATTCAGCATTTTTGTTAATTTTGACAATTTTGAAGGCCATATATCTAAAACTTCTAGCATGATACAAGAGTATGGTATATTTTACATAAAGGCCGAGGAATATCTTTTTTGGAATTTAAATTCAAAAACGTGTGTTTTTTAATATTTACAATCGGTTGCCTAGCAACAAAAATGGATGTTTTGATTAAGAGAAAGAGACAAATTGTCAAATGTGCGAGTTATTTATGGAATTAAATCTTATCGGTGGATACCAAAATCAAATTTTAAAGTAAAAACATATTTCTGAGACTTCTTTATGAATCCAGGAATATTTTGCAAATACTAATCGCCATGGCAACAGAAAATTCCCCATAGCAACAAAGGAAATAAATCCACATTTGACATGCACTCATTTACAGATTTGATTATTTTTGTCTAGAAATGATGACTTGGTAAATATAAAAAAAATAGTGGTGAACTTTAAGAATAGTAATTTTTGTTCTTAATTGATGCATAGCAATATTATTGAGCTTATAACATTAATAAAATTTTACATTACAACGAGTTAAAGTAATCTCTAAAGTCTCAATTCATAATAATTCTAAGACCAATTCTCCATAACTATCAAAATTGGTTGGCAACGCATAGTTACAGATTTGGATTTTTTCTATCATAATTTTAAACAAACGTGTGATTGATTGTGAAATCTGTAAGTATTTTTGAATTATAACCTTGGTTGCCATGGAAACGGGATACAAACTTTTTCATTTCTGTAAATCATGAAAATCTGTACTTTTCATGAAGATGTCCAGAAATGTCTAGAAATGAAAGGAGATAATTAAATTTGTGTTTATTGTTTTTAATCCAATACTTGAGATTCAAATAACAATGTTTACGGTTCAGTTTTAATTTCACACTCGTTAGTAGTCATGTAATGTACCGGAAAATATCAAAATATGGTAAATTTTGCTCAGTTTTTAAAGGCTAAAAACAAAAAATACATTCATTTACAAATTAAGCATAGAAACATGAAGGTCAATATTTATTATATTAGACATTTTAGATAAAAAAAAAATGTAAAAATCGGGTGGCAGATATATGTGTAAAATAATTTTAAAGGAGAATATTCATTTTTTTCTGCATTTTGAAGCATTTTTTGCTTCCCAATTACTTCCTTTGAATTACTCTCTAGTGCTTGGAGGTACAGTATGTAGACTGGTAAACCTAAATCAAAATGTTTTGGTAGGAGAACTTATCCAAACAGGCAAGAATTTGCAGTTTGTTAGAAGAAAAAAGACCAACATGTAATACATAATAAAGACAAGAGGCAATAACTATGAGCATTACAAATGCTATGTTTTTCTACTTTTTTCTCTCCATTTTTTGGCTTTCATGCATTTAACCCGAGATTCCTCTGCTTTGAAATTGTTGACACCTCTGCCCTGACTCTCTCCCGACCCCGGTACATTTCGCAATAAGAATATTAGATTAAAAACACGTTGATGAGAGTCAATGTAGACATACATGTACGTCAGGTAAGACAGTCATGAGTGACAGACACAATCTCTTATACATGTACGTTACAATGTTTACTTAGAGAAGCTTGCTTAGACGGTTAGATGTTTAAACTAGCATGGTTTACAATTTTTACTACACTTTAAGTTTTCCTCATGAGCAATCTTTTTATGAAGTTAAAAAATGCATCTTGGTGCACTGCAAGGGCTTGCTCTAGCTGTGTAAAAAATATTTATTGAAATATCATTGTTTGTATAATTGGTATAAGATTTTTTTTTCAATGAAAGCACACCTTCAGCTAGCACCAAATTTTATTTTATTGCAATAATACATTTCCTTTATTTCCCTTAACTGTAACAGGAAAAAGTTGGGGGGGGGATAATGCTTTCCATTAAACATTTCCTATAGTGACAAGTTATGTTTTAAAAAAAACTGGGGGGAAGGGGGCAGTCTCCCACCCTATATTTTCTCTTTAGAGAAGTGGACAGGCTTTCGCCTACACCGGATGTAGGCGAAAGCCTGTCCACTTCTCTAAAGAGAATATCTCCCACCCTTGGGCCCCCTGTTGCTACATCCCTGGTTTGAAACAATTACCCAAATTTGATATAATAAATTTACAATGCGTCAATAGGGAATCAATGCTCTAAGTAGGACAAAGACAAAAAAATTGTCTGCAATTGTCCAAGAGTCAATACTTTCCATAGAAATATGGGACTAAAAAATTATAGCCTAATATTTTGCACGGTAAATTTCTATTTCTAGCGTTCATAGGATTATTGATCATTTTGCACGAGATGATACATGTACACTTTTACCAAACAATGAATTTCGAAAAAACAGCATACATCTTTTAAAGTGTACAGTCGCCCGCAAGGCGCAGTGGTTAGCGTGTCTACTCTAGAGTCGCGAAGTAAGGAGTCAATCCTTACGTCGCGGGTTCGAATCCTACTGTGGGAAAACGTGGAGACCGGTCCATCGGATGAGACCATATAAACCGAGGTCCCGTGTCGCAGTAGGTGCTGGCACGAAAAAGATCCCTCCCTGCTCAATGGCCCTCAGTGCCGAGTATAGGACATTTGAAGCTCTCCACCGACAAGTGGTGGTCTCTCCATGTGAGTGAAAAATTCTCGATCGAGACGTTTAGCATTACAATATACAATCAATCAATCGAAGTGTCAAATTCCCTTTAATTTTGTCCGTTTTTTTTAAAACGTGTAATTTTTAGTCCATTTCATTTCAAGAGCATTAATTTAAAAAGATAAATCAAACTGTTTTAGTAACTTACAATAATATAGTGTTATTTAAAAGGAGGGGTGTTATGATGTATTCAATAAGTATACCCGTATAAATCAATACACTGAAATAGTACAACAAAACATATATCTGCACACCGCACTATGTACCCTTTTCACTATACATATAACAGTGTGGTAATATATTGTGAATTAGGTGAATTTCCTCTGGAACTGGTCAGGAAAAAGAAATTCCTTAAGCACTGGTTATTTTTTATAAGTAGTGATAATTATTTATATTCTTCAATCATGTCTCCACAAACCTCAAAAGGATAGAACATATTGATGACTGCATTGTAAATATTAAAAACGAATTTCATTGGCTAGGCTTAGCAGAACTGTACATGTTCGATAGAAACTGTAACACGATG